ATGTCCATGGATACTGACCAGATGTCCACTAGATAAGTGTTTAAGGACACTGAACAAGTGCCTGTTGACATTGAACTGTTATTCACTTGTTGAATTACCTTTTAACCCTGTATGCATTTATTTGCACAGTTGAAGTAAGGTTTCTATGCATCTTCAGCATTTGTCAAAGCAATTTTTATGTCATCATAAACCTATTTTGTCATGATTTATGAATGATTCGTCTGTTGTATTCCTTTTCTAATACCTCTTTCTTGATCTTGGGTTGCCATGGTGATCATTTTGATTACAGAACAGATTTTATATAACGCAGAAGCTTGGGATGGAACTGAGGCCTGAACTAGAGAAACTGTTCATACAACATTTACAGACCCATATATTTAAAGTTTTAGGTAAGTTTTACCCCCATGCTCCCTTGTTAGTAGCAGGTTATAATTGAAATGTTCCCTCTGTGCTTGTTTGTTAAATGTTCTTGTGTTTTGTGTTCTCTAGGAGCCACCATACCCAAAACAACGCTGATGTAATTATTGTATGCACCTTTTGTAATGATGGTTGAACTCCACTCCACATTGCCACACGAGTTTATTTCAAGGATGTCAAAAATGCAGTATCTTATTATTGTTCTCAATCTGTAGGCATGCTTCATGAGGCTCAAGCCAAGCCATTTTCAGTTGATCCATCCATTGCCTCCGATATCATCCATGGACTCTACGAAATCAAACAAGGTCAGTTTATAACAAAACTTGGCAGTGACTTGATCTTGGCAAGGATCAAGCACATAAACATGTACAAAGCACTCAGCCATAAAGCGAATATGAAGAGATTGGAGCATTTTTTATCAAAGTTAATATCTTGCAGAATCAGTTTTTAAAAAGTAATTTGTCATATTACTCTGATGAGTTTGAAAGGGCTTGGTTAGGAAACTGTTGTCTTGGCTGCATGCCTAAAACCAAAAGACCAAAAATGTAAAAGTAGCCTTTAACCCTGTCCTGTTGAGAGACTGTTGTGCCTTCTGAACAGTTAACCTGTGGAGTCGTGTTGCTTTAATGCTGTCTTCACTCTTTAAAAGTCATTCTGTGTTTCTGCCTTCCGCAAAGATTCAAGCCAGAAAGAGTTAGTGGGTTAAGGTTACATGGAATTGAGTAAAAAACCACTAATGATCCATGAGTGATGCCTATTCCTCAGTACGGATGTGAATCTAAGGTTATTTAGAACTTAAAATTCCACTGGAGTCCATAATCATCTCTGGGCTGGAAACTGGGTTCAGGTCCATTCTTTTGCAAGTGCTTCCAGTTTATTGATTCCACAAGAGGTCTTCTAGACTTAGAATCCACTTTTATTTCCCGGTACTGGACCTGGCATTTTTGCACTGAGAGTAAGATGTATCGGTCATATTGTTTATCTGAACTTTCTGTCCTTTTATTTCACAAAGACTATGCAGAACTTAATCCTGGCCTGTTTGCCAAGTACATTCCTAGCATCTTACCACCCTGCAATGTTGAGAACCTGTCTGACTACATCGCAGAGACGCACCAAATGCAAACACAACTCCTATCTCAAGAAGACTTCAACAGGTGAAGTTTCTTCTCAGTTGTAATAATGATGTAGTAAATTCTTTTGACATATCGCATTATATTAATTCATTGAATGAAAAAGCAAATAAGGCCCTTGACAGGAATGGAATTGATGGCCTTGTGTAGTTTGGTTAAACTTGTCAGCATGGATTTCCTTAAATACTCTATAATTAAAATATTCCATTGTTTTAAAAGGAACTCAGTGTGACAGTGTCATGTTCTTTGTACTTAAAGTAATATTTTCTGAATTTTGCCTTCTTTTATCCACTTTTTTGCACACTTTTGTCTTTATTTTATGTCCCACAGAGACAACCAAAGTCAAAAGAAGAGAAGTAACGATGCTGAGGCAGTGGTCAGTTGACACCAGTCACATGACATCAGTGGACATCACATCTGAAATCAGTGTACATGTTGGTTCACCAAGTCTTTCATGCATGTACAGTTTATGCCCTCATTTTAAGAAAAAAGTGGTTTTAGTGTAATTATTACAGCTTGCGAAATCAGGTGACTAAAATTTCTATTGATACAATCACTACATGTAATTTATTTTATCAGTTTACTCAGGTAAATGTGGAAGACGATGTTGGCAATTTTGTTAATTTACATGAACCACGGAGCAGAAGTATCAATTTTGTTATATTTTCTCTTCTTTTTATCTTCAGTTTCCTTCCTGCCAGAGTTGTCAGGTTGTCATGGAGATTGGATTCATTGTATTTGTCATCGCATTGTACCTTGGCAAACCTGGTACTTCAGAAAACTGTTCAAAGGCCTAATCTCGACAGAGGCCTGTTCAATAATTATATGAAACTAGCTACTTTGTAGGACACACCGGTTTAGGAAAAAATGGATATCGATCAAGCCTTGTGGAGACCCTGGGTTTATACATCAAAGATCTCATATAAGCGTAAAACTCTGATTCGTACATTGATATTAACTGAATTTAAAGTATAACATTTAATTTGAAACTTCTAAAATCAGTGGAAAAAGTAATTAAGCTGGGAAAAATAACCATCAAAATGGCGGTTGAATCAAAACTTGAAATAAATTCTTGATTGCTTTTTTTACACTTGAAAGAAAATTATCTGTCCTTTGCAATTCTAATTGAGTGTTGAACTTGTTCTATACTTTTATTTGTGAATAACAATTCATAGTATTAGATCAATGGTTCTTACTACACTATTAATTGTAAAAAATGCTTCCCTGCTTTTACTCAGAAAATGAGAACTCTCCTCGGTCAAATTTAAAGTTTCAAAATGGGTTTTAACTTTAAGAAAAACCAGAATTGTACAGTTGTATTTTGTACATATCTTGCATCTATTGCACTGTCGACAGTTTTTGTTAGTGCTCAAAGCAAATCCAGTTTTATACTTCAGAAGTTAATTTACAGTGTTGTTTCCAAAAAAAATGAAATAAATGCAAGTGTGTATGTCTGTCATGTAAATTTACAGATGTTTTGTTGACACTTGATTTAGAAATCATTTGGATGTCTTAATACTGCAGACCCGTTGGTTTTAAAATATCACCATTGTCTTAATTTAGGGTTATGTGCTTGATACAAGTCACACTGATTATTCCCTATATCTGGAAGAGTTTTAGCTTTGAAACATTGGACATATTTAAAAGTTCTTACAGAATGGATGAAAAAGTCAAATAGTTAGCAAAAAGAGAAAATGAAGGTGGGTTTTGAGCTGTTTTGAACTTCCCAGTAAGCAAAATGCATTCAGTAATGCTGAAAAAAGAGAAAAGTCAAAAGCTTTTAAAGACACCTTGTTGGTGATTATGGGGTTCAAGTACACCTACCCCCCCCCCCGAATTTCAACGGCTGGGCAATAAGTCATCTCCTAGCTCAGTCCCGCTCGTTTTCGTACGTGTTCTTTATCCCCTAGCAGTGGTTAAAATAAATCATTTCCCAGAACTGCAAAGGAAATCGTTATGTTTCCTCGTCATGGTAATAATGTCGGTGTGTTCTAACTAATGCAGCCAGTTATATTCGTCGCCACGCCCCAAATGGTACTTCTCTGTACCCGTACCCGCGCCGCGCGTACACTGATATATATCTGTGTGTCAGTGAACCACAGCCGGTTGCTAATAAATAAAAACGCATTCCCAGTCTCCTCGATGAGCTAACCAATATACCCAGTGAACCGCACAATGAGCACCGGTCTATTTGTTAGGTTAAAGTTCATCACGTATCGAAGGCGTGCCGGCATATCGATCAAACACGGATATTTTGTCTGTGTATGACATGTACCATTTATGACGCGTTGAGCAAAGTCCATTTTATGATGGAATATCAGCCAGTGACACTTTTTTGAATGGCCATTATGCAAGATAAAACTCCAAAGATCTTGGTCCATCATTTACCGCTTGTCGTGATTTTCAGCGGACTGAATTATCCACGCGTTACAGCCGGTTACGATTCGGGTGTCTCCGGAAAGACATGCCTGTGTTCGGCGGCTCGATGAAAAACGGTGTTGGCAGTGGAACTGGAAGTGGTAGACCCAAAAAGGATCCCCACGACGTAAGAAGGGTTCAAAGATTCTTTTTTGAATGAAATTTGAAATTATCCACGTGTGTTTTTTTCCATGCAGTATTAGTCATTAGCATGGAGGTAGGCCTACCTCCATGTCATTAGCCTCTAACGTTAGGCCTCATCCAGTCATCTACCGATTTTTGGACGTACATGTACGGTAGGCATGGTAGTTGGTCAGTATTTTTTCACTAGCGACGGAAAACGTAGAGTTTCGCAAAATTTCCAGCAAAATACGTTGTACGCGGGCGTATTTAGTAATTTCAACACAGCATTTATGCAATTTGGGACACAAGGCACTTGTGAACGACATTTGAGCTGTCTTTGCCAAGTACAAATGTGAGAAAAAACGTTGAAAAAATTTTGCCCAGTGGGAGGAGTTTTATACCCTGGACGTTAGTCGCAATGCAATGTAAACGTCCAACGTTGGCTAGGTACTGACTAGTACTAGTGCTAGGACTAGTAGTGAGTAGTAGTACGGAGTACATGTACGATGTGGTGTCTTACCCCAGAACTGTGGGGTCCAATGTCCGCCCCACTCCCAGTTGTGCCGTAAATCTTATCCGGTTACTGGTAAACCATGAATATGTCAAGTGATCATTCCCCAGCCCTTACATAACAATCTATAGTCTTGGCTCATCTCCATGGTGATGGATTAGCTGGACACGAGCAGGGCGGACATCGAACCCCACAGTTCTTGGAGTAGTGGTGTCTTACATTATAGTTAGATTAGAAATTAGCCATGCCCCTTAGTTTAGACAACCCTATAGAATTTTTCACATTGAATTTAGTTTGCCTTAAATTTTGCACATCCTGTTTAATTTTGTTGGCCTACCTGTTGGGCATGATTAGCAAATCAATCATGTTAATGATATGCATTATGCACAAGTGCTTGATCTTTCCATATTTGGGCTTGTGGTCAGTCTTACCAAGCGATTTGTCAGTAAATTCAGCCATCACCTAATTGCCTTTGTTTTAAATTCTTTGACAGATTATTTTTAAAATGGGTAGTAAGGCCATATAAAAAATTAGTTGGTTAGCATTCATGGCCTTTCATTTTTCAGAGGCGGGCAGGAGTTTTTTTCTTTTCCTTCTTCCTTTCTCATTTAAGAGATTCAGTTCCAAACTAACAATAAAGTGAATCACATGCCTTTTTCAAAATTGATTTTGTTTAATTCATACATCGAGACATAAAAAATGCTGGAAAATTTAACGATCACAAGTGGCCACCACATCCATGCATACATTTTGTAAATTGGGTACTACGGAATTCAACCAATGATCACGCTCATATAACAGACTTGTTCCCATACTCGCAGTGTATAAGGTAATGCAGGGACCAGGGACCGCTAACCAGACTACATGTACTCACTGGTACCCGCACTAGTTTCACATTAAAGTTTACGCAATTAAAGGAAGTGAGGGAACAGTGCATTTGCAGACGATATCGTTTATGTCTGTTTATAGGTTAATTGTACAATTTGACAGTAGGCCTCTCGTCTTCTGAAATTCAGAGCTTGTTTCTTTGGAGAAATTCCTTGGGAATGCACAGTGCCCTCGGCTATGCCTCAGGGCGCTATGCTTCCCTTGGGTGTTCAAAACGTCATATCCCACACCACAGCGGTCAACAATTAAATATTCCTTTATTATTAAAATGTTTGGCTCCTTGAATTTGTAATCAAGGAAATGATTACTAAATTCTGTGGTACATGTACAATAAGATGTGTGTGTACTTTTGTTATTCCTTGCACAAAATGAAAATCTTCAACAAGGAATTACCCCTTACAGCGTATCCTTACATGTAGATGAGAATTTCCTGCAAGGCATGTAGCTATGACCTTGGGCAAGTCATTTCAATTTACAAATTCTGCCTTAATCCGCCCAAGAGTCTTTACATGTACATGTATGGGTACCTGTGAAGGCAGAGTGGGTCAATTATGGTTGATTAACCAATATAATACTCCCAAGGGAGTTGAGATGATTGATATTGTTGCTTCTTGACCCAATGAGCAGGAATAATGGTATAAAGTGCATTGAAACTGGAAAGTGCTGTAGAAATATGTCATATTGTCAGAGGAACCAGCCCCTTGCAAGGGTGCCAAAGTCATTTTACTGCGTTGCCCGTGCTGAGTTTTGATAAATAAAAGAGTCTTTTGTGTATTCAGACAAGTTACTGACCTTCAAAACTGTGATGTGTACCTTTCAAATCGTGAAACTGTGGGAACGCACACTTTGCTAAAACTATAGGTCCATTGCTACATGAAGTGTTGCTCCTTTCAAAGACTCAAGATCAAAATATCTGATCCAGCATGACAATGTACGTGTATTTGCCTGTGCTGTACATGTACATTTACACACATGTACACATACCTTGCATTTCTTCTTTGCACTGCTTTAAAGCCAAACATAATTATTCAAACAAACTAACAAACAAGTAGTTTGTTGGAAGTTACAGTGCATACATGTGTGAAGTTACCACAGAGATTTTGTCATTTTCAAATTTTATGCACAACCTGCTTTAAATACTTTCTCTTTGTGAACAAATTGGATGTATCGTTTGCATAAAAGTTCAAATGTACGTTATTCTCTGTGTTTCCATTTTCAATGTACCGCTAAATGTATACAGTTCATCCGTACGTTGTATACATGTAAATGTTATTGCCCATGAGAGTAAAGAGCCTACATCTACAAAGTCAAGTGTTTTGGAGTTGGAGATGAAAGAAGTAAATTAAAACAAGGTACGTGGGTATCCTGGCAACTGTCTGTGCAAACAAGAGACAGCAGTACACAAGTTGGATACTCGCTCAGTGTGTTAAGTCAGGGTCACAGGTGTAGTTCTTGAATGGCCTGGTCACATGGGCCTTAAAGACTAGTAAGAACGCAAATCAGTTGATCGCCCCTGCTGGCATACATAGGTCATCATCCTCCTCATTCTGAAAAACCAGGACGATCAAGTGTTTTTTCACCTTGCCTAATCTCTGATTTGAACTAATTGATTGGCAGTAAGGAAGGCAGTACCAGGCAGGTGAGATTGTGTTGCTAATCACATCATCAGTCTAGAGTATCACCACATGTGACCTTTCCTATGTCCTGATAAAGCAATTTTTGTCAAAATTCAATTTTGAATATCTCAAGTTGGCAACGACGAATCTTAATCCCATCAGTACAGACGTGTTTTAGAACTTCCAGCTTTTGTTTGTAGTCAGGTTTTTTCCAAGCCAATCAAATTTTTGCTCCATGTTGTGCATCATGTAAGGAAAGCACCCAGTAACATGGAAACACCCATACAATCTGTTGCAGGCTGCAAGAACAGCCCTTGTGATTGGTCAGATTGTAAAGTAACAGGTTGTCCAAATATGGTAATACTACAGACCCAGTAATAAGAGCTGCCACAACTAATTTAGAATACACCAGGAACTCTACATACATGAATATGATTTGAATACCATGCATTTCTTTTGATAGTTTAATAGACATTGTCTCATTTTACACTCCCAGGATTTTGATTTCCTTTGCAAAGTACAAGTTACATGGAAATATGTTTTGCAATTCATAAATTTATGGAAATCAACAATTTAGTTTTTGCATGCATTCTATTGTCCAGGTCAGTGCACTCTCTACACTACATGTATGAGCAGATGAGACTGGACATGTACATGCTGTGTCATACACATGTACAATTGACATGTGTTGTACTTCAGTCCAAGTTCCCACAGTAGCAGGTGTTTGCTGTTGTATGGCTGCATTGATTATATTTGCTCTTGAAACCATTGTTATGACTACCAGATTTTGACATCCACACACAAAGGGCTGCTTTTAACGCTTCACTATGCATGAAGCTTCAGTCTTTTTTTTATTTCTAGTGCATGTGCACCTTAAGTGTGTCATGTGATGACATCACAGTCATGCCTTTTCACTTTTACAATGTTGTCCATGTACAATGTATTTAGGTAAATGTATTTTTTTTGTGAAATCTAACATGCTTTACACTGAGCTAAAATATGTTTTTAATTTATGCAAAGGCTTTAAATGTACATCATCAATGCGTTGAAAGAAATGTAGTGGTTTTGCCATAACACCATTGATGACAAATTAGCGTCCAATGACATTCAGTTGCCAACTAGTTGAAGACATTGATTGTCCTAAGTTTCAAATGACATTGTTACATTCCTTGCAGTTCACTGACAACTTCAACAATTGTTGTACTTCGCAAAGATTGACACAGGTAGGATTGGTTGGCATGCCTGCATCAGGCCGATCCAGGGAAGAACAGCCCTTGTCATCATACTTCAAGTTTCTGATCAGCATGCCACTTCTGCAAATGGTTGACAGTACATAAGTTTTCTTTTTGGTCACCCCCACCCCCAAGGCACTGCACATACCAGTATATACTCGTGGTTATGACGAAGGGGTTGGTTGGAATACATTTAAGCTCTTCCCTGGATCGGCCCCCTGATGCATGAAGCATCATGGCCTGAAATCTCACCTTGTCTTTTGCTTTCAGTATTTGAAAGATGGTCTTTAACACCGAGCACGTATGGATGCACTTTTCTCTCCCTTATTTTTGTTTGGTTTCATGTAACCAGGGTTTTCTTTATCAGTTTTCAAAGAAGGGATTCCCTTTATCATTGGTGTGTTTATTTCTCTGATATTTACAACTGAACTTGGTTACTAACGTGCTTTGTGTTTTCTTTGCAGTAAACGTGAACTTTATCCAGACATTATTGATCCTTTTTAACAACACCTGTACTATATGTAGGACCATTTAAACCGAAGTGCAAAAACCATTTTTAAAAAAATGTTTTTAAGATGTAAGGTGGCTTTTTATTTGTAGGACTTCATTGCACAATATGTGAAAGTCACAAGAAACGTCATCTGTGATGTTTTCACGATAGCATAAGTTGGAAAAATGCAGACATGAAGGTCAGATATTTTAGCAAAGCAGGCTTTGTTTCTCCAACAAAAGATTCATGGAACAGTATGCAGTATTCATTGTCAGGCTACCTGTACTTAAATGAACTTGAGCAAGTGCAAACGAGATCTTTACAAAAGGTTTGCCCAAGCCTTGTTCCATTCCAGTGCACTGCAATTATAGACACATATGCACACTTACGTTGTAATTTACTTTGTCCGTACAGTGGTAACTTTTCTTAACAGGTGTTCTGACCAGCTAGCACTACTGATTTTAATTTGACAGTGTGTGGAAGTGGTTCTTAACACTATTAATTATAGCTGGTAATTCTTCTCATTCATATGACTTGTCTGTGAGTTTGTCTGGGAATCGGAAAACTTTGAGTAAATTTCTCTTCCATTCTCATTTTGGATTGAGGCACTACATGTATGTAAGTCATGGTGAATTTTTGTAGATTGTAATCCATTTGTCTACCCAGGATGTTATTCAGAATCATAGCGTTCCAATAATTTAAGGTCAGTCTTAGATTTCATTCAAATTGTTCGTTTGCAGCTTGAATTACATCTGGCTGCCATTATAAACTCATATGTAATTTCTTGTTAAAGCAAAGAAATCCTGACACACGTTATTTACATCAACTTGGCTTGAAAATAAAAGAAAGCTGATGGCACTTATACATTATGTATGCGCACGTCATTTTTTCTTTTCTGCATCACCTAAATGATGCATTATACATGTACTTGTATATCGTACTGCATGGTGCATAAAATGTTATTTAACATCCCTCTTTTCTTTCTCTTAAACTTGAAGTATAATTACACTGTTGGTCAATTCTAGTGAGTGTCCATACAGTGTCTACTGATCACTGGTTTCTGCTGAAAAATTAGGTTAGCATGGACTAATTGTGGAAGTTTATTGGATAAATTAACCTTAGTGCTCTAACAGTGCGATCGGTGGTTTTTCTCTTGCCCACTAACACCCTACAGGTATGTGATTTGGTTCGGGTTTGTTTCATTTGTACTGTAGCATGCTCTAAAGGCCTACCCACATGACAAGATGGAGCCACCAGTAGCCAAACGTGCACACATTGATGAGGGCGTCGAGAAAGACGTGGCCACACCCAAACCCACCCAGATGCGTCTCTGCATCGCTACGTGTAACCGAGCAGATTACTCCAAGTTGGCACCCATCATGCTTGCTGCCAAGGCTGATGAAGAGATTGACTTGTCCGTCATTGTCCTTGGCTGTCATCTCATTGATGACTATGGGTGAGAAGAGTGCTCAAACCGTTTCTGTCAGTTTGTACCAGGAGCAAAGAATTTGTACCTGTACTGCTGTCAATTCACAGCAGAAATATCCTGAAGTTCAGTAAGAAACCTGTTATTGCTCACCTGTGTCCAGTTAACTGTTTTAGCTAACCTATTACCGGCCATGATCTCAGTTTGTGTGTGTTATGCGATGATTTGCTTATGCAGGTCTACATATCGCTACATAGAACAAGATGGCCTTGATATTGATAGTCGTCTTCACACCATTGTCCGAGGGGAAGATGAGGCGGCTATGGTAGAGTCCGTCGGATTGGCCATGGTCAAGCTGCCTGATGTCTTACTGCGGCTTAAACCTCATGTCTTGGTGGTCCACGGTGACCGATTTGATGCTTTGTCTCTTGCCGCATCGGCTGCACTGATGAACATTCGCATTGTACACGTGGAAGGAGGAGAGATCAGCGGCACTATTGATGACATGATTCGTCATTCCATCACCAAGCTGGCCCACTATCATGTCTGCTGCACGGAGCGAGCGCACAGTCGACTCTTGGCCATGTGTGAGGATAATAATTCCATCCTACTGGCAGGCTGTACCTCCTATGATAAACTCTTAAACACCGACACCACTAACTGCTCAGCTGTGATGGAAAAGTGGCTACCAAAGGATGTCAAACCACACGATTACATCGTCGCCCTGCAACATCCAGTCACAACCAACATCAGTAAATCGTTGAAGATGTTCGCACTGATGCTGGATGCATTGTTGGAATTTGGCAAGAAGGTCATTGTACTCTTCCCCAATATAGATGCAGGCAAGTATTCATGCGTGATGCATAACTCTAACATTCCTGAATCTTGAAGATCTAGTATTCTTGTCTTTTGAATAAAGAGAAATGTTTCAGGATTTAAATGTGTGAACAAAGTCACATTTTATACCAGGTTTACTGTGACACTGACGCATATTTGCATTGTAGCGTCATAGATGATCGCTGTCTTTTTTCTTCCCAAACTGTCAACAGGAAGTAAAGAAATGACCCGCATCATGCGTCAAAAGGGCATCGAACACCACCCGAACTTCAAGACAGCTAAACACATACCCTTTGATGAGTTCCTCATATTGGTAGCCAATGCTGGCTGCATGATTGGCAACAGTAGCGCCGGGATCAGAGAGGCTGGGGCATTCGGAACCCCGGTCATCAATCTGGGGTCTCGTCAGACAGGAAGAGAAACTGGTAAGTTTTATCCTCAAGGGAGGAGGGGGGGTCCACTTTTGTCGTGGATTCTGGTTACAAACAGGGATCCTTAAGCCAGAATTCCAAAGTCCTTCAATTACAGTTGGGATGTATATCGATCCCTTTTAAGAGCCACATTGTTTTGAACAGGGCATGTTTTGCTTTTTAAAAAAAATGAAAAGAGGAAAAACTGACAATGTTTACTCTGAAATGATTGTCCACAGGAGAGAATGTCTTACATTGTAGAGAAGCTGATACTACAGAGAAAATCAAACATTCCCTGGAGATCCAGTACCAGAAACAATACCCTCCGTAAGTTCAAATCAAAGTCATACCAGAATTAATTTCCTTTCTCTTTTCCTAAGCAGCATTGTGCAGTTTCTCTGAACTGAACGGTTCTAATCTATTGCAGTTCATACATCTATGGTGACGGTCACGCTGTTCCTCGCATCATGAAGTTCTTGAAGTCCCTGGATATTACTGGCGAGACGCAGAAGATGTTTATTTTTCCACCGATGCCCACCAGCCACCATCGAGACATTGACCATATCTTGGAGAGGCAAAGTGCCCTCGCTGTTGACCTGGGTGGCACGCAACTGAGAGTAGCACTCATTGAGAACCATGTGAGTTAACATACAACATTTTTTAAGGACTTATGACCTTCCAACCTAAACCCAAGCTGCCGTAGATTTCTTTTTCTTTTTTTTATCATGTGCAGCACTTATCAACATTTCTGACCAGTTTGGAGGTCAGATCTTTATACAAAATAGCTTTCGTGGTGATCATATTGGTAAATTTTGGCTGGCATTTTTGTATTGGCTGTTCGTAGTACATATAGATGCCACGTTTGATGTGCATTAATGTATGGACAGGAATGACATCTGTTTACAGTGGATATTGTTATCACAATAACAGGAAATGAAATTGACCTCAGCTCAAGCCAAAAATATCGTAATTAATCAATACAGCACACGTGTCGTGTCCTGCATGTGGACTAGGAAGAGCATTTGCAAAATTTGTATGTGTGACCAGTACTTTCTTACCAGTCTAGCTTTGTCAAAACAGAACAGCTTGATGAAAAATTCTATACCAGCTGTTCAGGCATTCAGTAAACACTGTAAGGTGTCCGCTGTTTTTGTTGGGATTTCTACAGCAGTTTTCAGCACTTAGTAATGTATTCCCACAATGCATGTGTGCGGGGCCAGCATAAAAATTACTGCGTAAAGATTTATTGTCCTTCAGTCTTTGTGCCAACAAAGTGTTTTGATTGATGTGATATGAGATATCCATGCCTGTCTCAAATTTGTAGACTATAAGATGTTTTGTACATAACTGAAAAGCAATTACTAGCAGATAGCATGCTGTCTGAACTCAAATTTACTTTGGCTGTTCTCCTTCCAGGGGGAAATTCTTGCTCAGACATCACATCCTACCCCCAAAACCAATGAAGAGCGTATGTCCAAGTTGTTAGAGATGTTGATGAACCTGGCCCAGAAAGCTATATCTCTGAACTGCAGGGTGCTAGGAGTAGGTGAGTAACTTGAATGCAGTGAGTAGTCTAGCCAGCCACCTGTCCAAATGTCTATCTGTCCGTCTGACCGAAGGACAGGTAAACCAGTTTGTACAGGCAGTGTTTACATGCTCAAAATGTACAACTCCCAAGACGCTTATATCTTACATTGATTTTTATCACCGTTGAAGAAGTCCTCGCATTTCCTTCCAAAACACTGAATTCAGTGGAAGCAAGGCCTCAGATAGCACCGAGGGATGTCAGTTTCCAAACATTTCCTGGAAGAGGTGATTTCACCTTGGCTGGGAAGAGCAAGGAACTGGGAACTACATGTATATGATGAGGCTGTCACTCTTAAAATCTTCTTTTACATATTCAGTCACTCCGAAAGAAGCCCTCACAAATTATGTTGCAGACAATATTAAAACTGCCTGAAAATATATAGTGCATTGTTTGATTCTTCTGCTGTTGACGTTATGCAAATCAAATATGTGCCATGCATCAAAATGCATTCATAACTAGCTCTTTGCTCATATTGGTTAACCTGCACGCACAAATTCATGAAAAGGTACGCGTATTTTCTGTTTTTCTCTGATTTAGTTCCCAGATAAAAACGAATATTTTATTATTCACCTTTCAGAATTGTCCACCTATTCAGCATTATGTGACACGTCATCACATGCATTCCATGAAATACACCCACATGTACATATACAATCTCTAGAGCTGATATTGTAAGCAGATAATGTTAGCATTATTGACACTGCCCTGCATGCATTAGTTGCAACTGCTGATTTGTGTGAGAACAAGTGGTTTGTTGAATGAACACGCCAGCACACTGCTGGCAGGTGCACGTCACCATGGCAACCTGTTCACTGGATATATTTATCAGATCAATATACACTGACGTGGCAATACTAAACCCGTTGGAGGATTGAGGACTCTTTAAGTTTAATATGGCATTACAGTGTACCTGTTACAGGGAAAATAAAAAGAGTAATTTTAAGCACATGGTGTACCGGTTCACCTTCATGTATTGTTTTGAATTCCGTCTCTCATGGCTTTGTTCAAAAATGGTCCCAATCCTTTCCTTTTTTCCAAAGTAATTGGAATCAGCAGGACGAAATGATTTTTAAGACAGCTCCAGTAGTCCTTGGAATGAGCCCTGCCAACCCTCTGCATGTACATATTTCTTTTAAATTCTTAGTTTTTTCCTATTTGTCGGCACACATGTATGTCTCTCATGGCCACTCGAAGGCCAGTGGTCTTATTAATCAGGTCCAAACATGTGTAACCTTACATAGTATGATGATGTTGAAGGCCGTAACTCCTTGCCAATGTTGGTTTATTGTAGGAATCAGTACAGGAGGTCGAGTGGATCCAGGAGGGGGAGTAGTCAAACATTCCACCAAAGCTTTAGAAGGTACGTGCAAAGTGCTTAGCTCTGAGTTATTCAACTTATGTCAAATGAAAAGAAAAAAACATTTCTTGTGAAACTGATTAGAAAAGGGCAAGGCTAGCTAGATAATTTAGAAAGTGTACCGGCTTTCTATGATCATGCCTGGCAGAAGGGTTTTGCAGCAGATGGTTAAATTTTGGCCTTCCTCCTGGTAACAAGTGATGTTTATTTACAACTGGGATTGTATTTTTTGCTTAAGGTTGGTCAGAAATTGACCTAAGGACTCCAATATCTAGCATGCTGCACCTGCCTGTCTGGGTAGATAACGACGGTAACTGTGCTGCTCTCGGTGTACGTGCCTTTGGCTGTGGAAAAGGAGTAGAAGACTTTGTTACCATAGCAACGGGAACTGGTGAGTTGGCATACAGTGGCATCCAATACACCAGCTGTTAGTTTTAGCTAATAATTTACCAGTGTTTGCAGCTGTGTGGCAATTCGACTTCAAATATGTTTTGTAATGACAGGTGCGAACATTGTGCATATCAGGCACAAGACTGGAAGTTCATTTTTTTAAAGGAGGAAATTCCAACTGCTCAAGATTTTTTGGTACCATTTCAATTTCAGTAGTAATCAGAGAGAAAATGATGAAAGTAGGCGATTCAAGGAAAAGTAGCCTGTCTGGTATTTGTATTATCCTAAAGATGATATTCCATAATTAACATCAACTTCACTCAGCCTGTTTGCCTTATGTCACTTTTAGGAATTGGTGGAGGCATTGTTCTGGGTGGTAAGCTCATCCATGGAACAGAGTTCTGTGCAGCTGAATTGGGCCACACTAAGGTTTCCTTAGGAGGACCAACCTGTCAATGTGGGGGTACTGGATGTGTGGAAGCTTACAGCTCTGGATTGGCTCTACAGCAAGAGGCTCTGAGGCTGTATGCAGGTAGCAGCGGGATCTTAGACAAACAAGATTTGCAATTTATTCCATTGGAACTTCCTTTCTTTTAATGAATTTGTTGGAGTTTACTTCAGCTTGATCATTGGGCAAACTGATTTGGTATCAGTTGTCTTGTGGAAAGCACCTTGAAAGTATTCATTTTTAAAATGAACATCTCCTCAAAAGATTTCCTTGGCATAGTTAGTGCCTTCAGTTGTAGAAAGTCATGCAGGAAAACTTTGTAATTGTCATAACAAATTGTTTTCTTAAAAGCAGAATTTGCTTTTACCGACAGAGGGTAATCTGCTGACTGAGGGATTCCATCTAGAGAATAACGAGAAGATCACAGCCAGGCACTTAGTTGAGGCTGCCAAGCTTGGTAATAAGAAGGCACAGGACATCTTGGACAGAGGTGAGGGGCAGTTTCCAATTCTTTCAAAATGAACTCAGAATCTCTCACCTGACTTCGTAGAAACAAGTTTAAACCTGTGCTGGTATGGACTGTCACAGGAATTCTCTCTTGCATTCATTCAAAGGAGCATTTTTATGATCCAAAAGCATTGCAGATTTGTGCACATTATTAAGAAATTTGAACGCGGCCATCCAGCACCTGTCTAACCTAAAAACCAGAGTACACAGGGCATGTCATGTGACCTTGGCTCCTGGAATTAACCAGGCCACCTAGCATCATTTAGTATTCATGTTCTTTAATGTTAAGTAAGCATTCCCATCTCATTATTAACAGGTGCCAAGGCTGTGGCATCAGTGGTTGTGAATCTTCTTCACATCCTTAACCCGTCCATGGTGGTCCTGTGTGGTGTGTTAGCCCCAGCTTACATTGAGACAGTGCGTAACGTTGTCAAGAAAGAGGCACTGCCCTCGGCTGGTCACGCAGACATCACAGCCTCCTCGCTTCAAGAACCGGCTCTGTTGGGAGCTGCTAGTCTGGTCCTCGAATACGCTACTAGAAGGATCTACTGAAATATCAACATTTTCTACATGGTGTGGTCATATTTATCACTCTATGAGTGGACATAGCTTTCCTTCTTACATCTACCCGGGTGTAAGGCTGCCTATCGTTATAGCAGTTGTTTACATTTGAAGCTAGGAACCTGGAATAAAGGAGATTTTAGTTTGGACCATTTCTATTTATTTCTGTGGGACCGGTGTAATGCCCACTGATGTGTCATATTTATGGACATTTCAGGCCAACTAGCATAGGCAGTGTGATAAATTTTACAGATTTTTGTTTTTAGGTAGAGTGGATGCCTTGGCTTTATTTTTGAATTGTGGAAAAATTTGGCTGCTTTACTGAAGGATGAAATGAATTTTAACATGGGTTTATGGACAACCAATCAATTATTTAAGATTTTAAAGGTACTGTAGGACCTACATTTGTGTTGTATTGTAGATCAAGAAGCAGGGAGCTGTTACTCTGTGCCAGGGAATAGCAGTCGAGTAGGTTTGAGGATACACGTCAGTCTAGCAACTTATGAAGGACTTTTTGGCTCATTGTTTGTAGCTCTAGAGGGTATTTTCTTTGATAAATTCCCTTGTTTAGTCTGGAAGGAAACTGGCTTGGGCCTGATGACTGTGTCTTCTAACTTCTACTTCAACCCTGACTTTTGGTAGGTGTTTGGTTGCTGATGATACTAGCCTGGTCCACAAGCCGCTGAGAGTTGCTCGAGAAAATCAGATGACAACAACCATGTGTGTGTGTGTATCTCTGGGTTCTTTTGTCAAATGGCCCATTTGTTTTGAGTCTAAGTAGATTGCTTGACATGCTGGAAGAGTTTTGCTGCAGTTTGATGTCGACAGGATTTGGCAAAGGAGTACCTAGGACTTTCGCCCATGTTCTAAATCTGCGATGTTGCCTCCAACATATCATTGGACATACTACATTGCAATCTGCTTTAAATTAATGAATACAGATTAGATTTTGTTTTTGGTGTACATCATGGCAGTTGTACCAGCCTTTCCATTGTGGGTCCATACGTAATTCAGCACGTAGGTCAAAGTATTGGCAGTGATATTTGAATGTTGGACATTCTTAGAAATTTATTTATGACTTCGTTTTCTCCACCCCTATACCCGATGAATAAATTTTAAGATTCATTTTCTTCGATAAGACTTTGTAAAGGTCACATCAATTACTTGGAGGATTGTCAGATGTTGACAAAATGATATGACCGTTTTACTTAATGTGTAAGTCCTAAGTGTACAGATCAACACCACAAGGTGTGGCCATTCTTTCTATTGCATGAGCGACATGTACGTAAGTATTTATATATTTAATGAACTCTGATTCCGAAATCTAGACAGAGTGCAAAGTCGGCTGATACATGTATAGGCCTTGAGCTGGACCAAAAGAGGGCGCTATTTCCATAGCGACAGAGGCTCCTTTGGAACTAACTGCAAATTGCTGGTCCACGAATGACAGCAGTCGCGCCGCTAACAACAAAATTAACACTCCTGACCAACGTGGCTCAAGTGATGAGGGGTGCTTCTGCTCGAGATGGATACATACATTTATGTGCCTCAGAAGTTGGAAAGATGTCAGCACCTAGATTAAATCTAAGTAGAGAATAAATAGTAATACTGTTTGCTTGAATAAAGTCGTTCTGTGATTGGAGAACAGCCTTGTGATCAGCCTGAAAATAGCCATGTTACATGGATCAAGTTCATTATGCACTGTTTGATGTAAGTGAATGGAACACTGTGCTCACAAATGAAGATGTCAACTGTTCTTTCAGACAAGAAGTTTCGCAGGAGTCGGAGGTTTTCATGTATTGATTCATTTCTTGTACTGTAGTTTACAGTTGTCATTTTGACTTATTGGCACAATGTACACAAACGATAATTGAATGCCATGATTGGGATATTCCGTTGTTCAACTCGGCTGGCAGCAATGCTCAAGGTGCTGTGTGCCCCTCAAGGCCTTTGGCATATCCTGCATCAGATCTGTCAACAATTTTTCAATAATTTTGATGGTACAGAATAAATTCATAAGTGGTATGAAAGCAGGTGATTATTGAAAGATAAGTACATAACACATGGACGTTGCATGTTTTTACTTTAGAATTTTATTTTTGGATTGAAATTGATGTTTTATGTCATTGTAGACATGGAGACACCTGTAGCGGGTCTTTGGCTTATATACATGTACATGTGCACCCCTGATTCACATCTTGAGTTAGAGCTATGTACATTGATAAATACGGCATTCAAAGCAACTCTTTGAGCTTTAAATAAATTATATATATATGAATATGCCAAAGAAGCTGTATATTTATCAAAGACTGGTTTAACCCAAGAATTGTGAAGATGAAATCTTTATTACATAAAGTTTGACAGCTTCTAAATAATTTTGGTTTTTCTTCACTGTGTGGTACATGTATATTACTATAAAAATCCAGCTTCAATTATAAATATTGAATGTTTTTGTTTTTTCAATCCAAGTTTGAATTTATTTCACTGAAGTTAGATAAATAAACGTTCTTGCTGTTTTGACCTTAAATTCATCTTTTGATTTCCACTCAACAGTCCTGCGTATAAAATTTCTTTCTAAAATGCCTACTTTTACAACACACCAAATGCTAACAAAAATACTTGAGACACCCAGAGTAATACAGACTTCAGACACACTTCAAATGTCAAAAAAAGGAAGCGAAAACCTTCAACCTTCTAATTGTACAAAATAATTGCACATTCCAAATCATTTTATGTACATATGTGTACACTACAGAATAGAGTTTTTTGTTGACGTCAGAAATTCAGATACTGAATTTCGTTAATGGCAGAGTGCAGAACTGAAGTGGCCAATCCTGATTTTGGACGGCATCATTTTTGGGAGAACAAGGAAAGAATGCCAAAGTGGTAAGATTTTGTGCAATTAAGAACATTTGTATGCATAGTACCTGTAAACATATTTCAGTATGAACTGTCGAAATTTTCAAAACGTCTATTTTTTTTCCTCAAAACCCGATCAGCGACATCATATCTGAGATACAGAGAGTATAAAAGCCACTGCACAAGCATACATGTACTTCCCTCTACAAACCACTGACATACTATTCTCCCTATTTGATGCAGCAACACTGTGTATCTCACTGTGAAGAACGAGGAAACGTCGAGAGAAGTTGAGGTGTCATGGAGTTTTGTGTTAGTACCTTCATTTTCCTGATTGACTATAGCCTCTGCGGTAACTGCCCTTGGCAGACAAAGTGCGTACGATGTAAGCCTCTTGCTGTAACTGCACATTCAACTCCTGCACCTGAAACAATTGGTAAGATACAAAGAGGGTTGTTTTGGTTGAGAGAGGACAGTGATTTTCAATTTGGAAGGGAGTAAAGTGATCCACCAAAGAAGTAATTGATGCCATTTTTGGAGCTCTCTTATTTTGGCAGAAATGAAACAATGAAAGTTACGTGTCGGTGCAATTATGTAACTAAAAAATACTGATCAAATCATTTAGTCACATACTGTAGCTTCAACATGGTCTAAGAAGTGACAATGTAAATAGTAGATCATTATTTGGCCAAGATTGGAGTCGATTTATAACCCATGATATTTTTTACCTGTTGTCTATGATTGTCTTTCTGTTTGGCTAGTCTCTGCTTCAAGTCTCTTATCTTGGACTCTTTCAGACTCAGCAAGTCATCTTGCTTCTGTTTTTCAGTTTCAATGGCTGGATAAAGAGACAACTTGAAAGGTCTTCACATGTACAGCAAACAACAGAAATTTCATATCCACTTCTTGATTTTGTGAAATAAAGCTCATGGGCCGTTCACCTTACCTGAAAATCTTGTTTTGAGCTGGCTTGCTTTTGCATTGTCTTTTACCGACTTTTCTTTCAACTGACCAAACCTGTAAGAAAATGACAGTAAGGAGAATGGTATTGACAAATTCTGACAGTGTCAAGTCACAAACAACCAAAAAGTGACCTATTTTGCATTATACATCAACAGGTCTCATAGCTTTAAATTCCTTCTGTTTCCAAATCGGGAACTAAACTTCGACTAGTCTGGTGACAGACTCCTTTTTTTCAGAGTGAAGTGGATTTAACTTACGACTGCTCAAAGTTGGCCTTCTCTCGCTCCAGTTGTGTACTCAAGACTTCAATCTCCCCCAAGGCAAACTGCAACTTGTCACTCTCGCTGGCTAGCCTGGCCTTTGTCTCCTCGTGTTGCCGTCTTTCCTCCTGCCAAACCAATTTCAAAAGAATTCAGTTCATTGTACATGAAAAAATCCTGAAAGTAAAAGCTTTAAAATGAGAGTTCAACATTTTGATCCAAGCATAATCTCTGACAGGTACAAACAGACATTTCTGGATAGACAGCATTCAAACTATATCTAAGAGTGACGACTACCTTAAGTTGTTCAACAAGCTCATCATATTCCAGTTTGGATACTGTATCCTGATCAATCCGCATCTGCTACAAAAAAGAAGGACATCTTAAAACAGGGTAACAGTCAACACATTGAGGTAATTCTGTATGTTGCTGTATGTATTAAGGACCTCTGCTGTGTGAGGTTATTGACAGGTGTAATAAACCAAATACATGGAACTATTCTAAAATCTGAGGATCAACCATCAGGATGAATTAGCCTCAGATCAAGGCTGAACTCATGCAGTTACATTATCAGTATAGTCTTTGTTCGAGTTGTTAACTGTAAGCGTCAAAGGCATTAGAAGTAGTATTAATCCTGATTTGATAGTTATTCCTCAACACAACTATCTCTGCAGTGAACAGTAATGTGTTGTTTTCTTACTTGTTCTTTCCACGATTGCAACACTTGTCTTTGGGTCAGAAGAACATCTTGCAGTTGTTTGTGGACTAACATTTCAGCAGTTATACTGGCCATTACAATGGGTCTTCAGGAGAAAAACAAAGCATTTCATTACTCCAAGCACAATCGAAACGTCTGGCAATGAATTATCTACCATGGGATGGGACATCTTCATAATGTGGAATATTACGGCATACAGGTGCATCAACAATTCAGCATAATTGTAATGATGAGTGACAACAAGTATACGACTGTTTAAAAGACTAGTGTCAGAACATTGAACTCTGACCCCAGATCTGCAATAGTTCTCTCATGCATGTATGATTATGTCATATGCCATTCCATTGTTTTCTAGCCCTTCATCGAGGAGAGTGCCCCATCCAACATTGAATAGATACTTGAATAGACTGAATAGACATTGAATAGACTGGCATGATAGGATTAGACTGCCAAGTTAACTTGGCCGAAATGATCAGACAGACAGTGTCAGAAACACGATGATCATGGTCCCAGCCATAGACACAATACTGTTTAGCATGTGCAGCTTTGTCACCAATCCACATGATATGCCCGATCCAATCAACTAGCGAGGCATTAAACTTACTTCGAGAACTCTAAGGTACTAACTCCGTGATCATCGTGTCCATGGTGTTTTTATCATGTTTACGTCCTCCATGCCGCCGATTTATCTGTCCACACTAATACTTAATAGGTATCGATCGCTAAGATTGGGCCTCACGCCTTTGAAATATTCTTTACTCAGAATACAATATATTGGTGAAAATGTGCTCTTATCATACAACTGAGGGATACAGTAAGTTACTTGCCTTCACTAACGAAACAAAATCTCCAAAGGATAGACGGAGCTCCGAAGACGGACAAATCTTCATTAGGCCGGTGCCGTTTTTGCCGCGATAATACAAATATCGCGCCCTCTATGGTTTAAATTTGTCTAGGGGGGGCTGGGCGTACATGTTCCTGAAATAAACCATTAAAATCTCGTGTGTGTACAACACACGACTCTGAGGTCGTAGTCACTTTGGAGAAAGTCAGTAGATGTGTCAATATACTGGGCTGGGGGATTTCCCTTTCCTCTTTGACAACTAAATCGTATTTTCAAAGATTGCCCAAAGAAAAGCAGATTTTATCCTTTTTCATCTGGTCATTTGCAGCGGTCAACATACACTTGTCTTTAGGAGTAAAAGAAAAGATGACATTCAACTTGTTTAAAAGGTCTCCCTGGGTATAGAGAAAACAATCCCACATGTAACAGACAATTTCAACAATTATTGCGCACAGTTTTATTGGTCCACTAAATCTAACACCTTTGCTGCATCAAATGCATGTATTGTCATTGATAAATATAATCATTACATCATTGAAATAAACTGTCAGTCTGAACGCTGTTTTTTTCCTGGTACTTCCATCTTCAGATTCAGCTTACTTTTAGTGCCAACCAAAACCGTTTACTTACTGTATGTTACAAAACAGACCCCCTCCAAATTTTTTAAATGCCTTTCTGCAGCAAAACTAATCCAAAAAGAAAGTTTTCAATTTGGAGTTGGATTTGGAGTTGCACTATGATCAATGTTGCCCCTGAAGTTCAAACAGCTAGGACAGTGAAACAAAAATGTCAGCACTGAAAGTATTCTGTAAGCATCTCCTCCCTTACACTTGAACGATAACTTGAGTAATTCAGTTAATACTACAAGTGAAAATCTAACTAATAACTGCTTCCGAAAAGCTCCTTCTAATCTTCACGTTTTAAATTTTACACCCAATGACAAATAATTGTATTGATCCAAGGTACGATTGCAGTTAAGTAGGAGATGTTACAGGCAACAAAATAGTCAATTCAGATTATATCATCCACTTCTTCAAAGTCAGGGATGTTGAGTGGTTCCAGAGGAGACAATGAATCTGTCGGAGGGGAATAAGTAAAATCATTCATTAATGAAAATGGGGTTTCTAGTCTGGAATTAGTCCCCATTCCAAAATGGTTCTCTTCTCTGGTGGCGTCACGTAATCTGCATTCTTCCAACTGTTGCTGAAGGTCAGACACCGTCTCTCTTAGTTTATGGTTCTCCTGCTCACAACACTCCAACACCTGGAAGAGCTGCATTAAATGGCTTTGGAGCTCCTGGATTTGAGCGTCTAACTGTCGTATTTTCTGCTGGGATGTGGGAATTTCATGCCCCTCCAGTATAACATTTGGGGTTGGATTGTGAGACGCAACTGGCTCTACATTGTCAGGATGTCTGTTCCTGAGGCCAAATGTCTTTATGGCTGCAATGAGCTGAGGCAAGCGATATTTTGGTTGTTCATTTTCAATGCTGTGATGCTCTCGTATCACAGCTAAGAGTGAGTCTGCTTCCTCTGAGGAATTGAACCTAGATTCTGTACTCTCTGTTCTCATCCTACTTTCCTGCTCTTCGTGCTCCGCCCCTCCACCAACTGACAAGTCATACACTGGTTTGGGAACCCTCAGGCCATCAGGGCTGTCTTCATTCAGGAAGTGCCCATTTGATACAGTCAGCACCGAATCCTGTTTGTGCTTATCCCATTGCTGCCGTTTCTTGATGACCTGCGGTTGTTTTCTCAAATTCTCAAGTTGAAGTTTCAGTGAAAGTATGGCTGAAGGGTTCTGTGTCTGTTGAATTGCGCCTTCCAGCTGATCTACAAATTGTGATAATAACAGACAAATTATTGACCTAAATCTGAGGAGCCCCATGTTTTTGGAGGGTTGATTTGAAGGAAATATATGGCCTGAAAGCAGTATAAGGGATATATTGGCCAAAGCCTTCATTGTAGTATTTGACCCAGGTATGTAAATTGTTGTTGCAGCATCCAACAACTAAAAACTGGAAAATAAACATTTGTAACCAGAGTGTTCTGAAATGAAGATAACTTCACAAACCTGCAGCTCTGATGTAACAAGATGACGCTTGGTCATAACGTCCATTTTGTAACATTTTCTCAGCTTGTCTCTCAATCTGATGGGCCTACATCGAGATCAAAATGAATGTAAAAAGTTGGTATGATAATTGTCTGAATAACTAGCACTCTGAGTCATAGTTATTTATACATGGGTGATAATTAGACTTAAGTTATATTTAGAGACCGTCCCAGTGTTTGTATTTATAACTTATAGGCCTAGGCCGAAGTATGTAGTGATGCTGCTGTTTAGAATAGAAGGAAGAAAAACAGGAAATTAAGCGCAGAGCACACTATATTACAAAGCCAGCTGACTCGGTCTAATGTCATGGCTTCATATTACATTCGTATTGCTATCATATCACAAGAGCTTGTCAGTGTTGAACAAGTTCAACCATTCGGCCTGTGGTAAACGATTGTCATTGTCATGATCATGGTCACTGGGGTCTGATGATTCAACAATTTGGCCAATTTGTCCAGTGTTGCCAATGGATGATATAAAGTAACATAACATAGAATATCTTACCCGATTAAGCGGTGAATCAGGATCCATTCTCAGGTTTACCTCGTTGTTTCTGTGCAACATTTTAACAGATTGTCGGGAGATTCACAAGTAACATAGAAAACACGCCTAGCCTCTAGCCTCTGAACGTTAGGCTGTACGTGTACCATGGAGTGCGCCCTCATTTATTATAGAAAAAGAAGTGAGGGGGCCATTATGTCACCTGTCTGCAACAATTAATCGGACATTGAAAGTGAGTGACGGGCCGGACTCCCTCCTTGAACTTCAGTATTTCTGGATCCAACCTCGAATGATCCTCTTTGTCTTTTTTGTGTCTTTGTGACATTGTTGTTTTCCATGATATTGTGAGTAGCTCACAAATCACATAATTTATGAAGCTCACATGATCATCCTGACTCCAAAAACTACTAGTTCAAAATCCCGGCGAAATATAACAACTTAATGATGGCAACCTATTTTTACGTAGTTTCGATGAAGCCTTAAAACAAGTTGCACCGAATTTGCTGTTTGTGTTTGCTTATTTTAAGAATCAACAGAACTGAGTCCTGCTAATATCCTTCTCTAAATGAAGACAAACATAATTCGCGCCACTAGAACTATTTCAAGCCCTGTCTAGGATGAATGTGGCACACAGTATTGATGTAACATTATGTAACTGCCCAGATCGAGACATGTTGATGCGTTTGACTCGTAGTTCATAAAACCGCGTTCGAGTAACGCCCCAGACAGACTTCTGTTGACCACAACGTCCTCAGTCGTGGAGCCTAACTACGGTAAGCACGAAAATTTTGTTCGCGGGGCAGATTTTAAATGACAGCGTTGCCCATCAGTTCCTGGATTCATTCAACTTGTTCTGTGGAAACACACCGGCAAACTGTAGGCCTTTGCCCGTGCTGTTTGCCTTATCTTTTTTACTCCATTGTCCGTATGTGTGTACCGTCATATGTTGCGTTTCGTCTTGAAATTGTATTTTTTAACTTGTACATCGAGAAGACAATTTCGTATGTTTCTTTTTAAACCTGACGAAAAAGTCGACATAATGAAAGCTGTTTGTGCAAATGTTTCCTGAGGTTAGTCCACTCATAGAATTGAGTCCTGTAGGCCTCTCAGTCAATCTCCGTGCGTTTTAAATACATGTACTGGCAAGGACTGTGTATCGCCGGGATGCACGGTAAATGATCAGAATACGGCCTGAATTTTACGGTAAGTGGCGTGTTTATTTGTGCCAATAGCGGTGGGATGGGTTTGTTTTTGAAAAACCTTACCTTTATCATGGTTATTTTTATTCATAGCATTTACCTGGCTAACTTATGCCCATTTGATAGTTTGATATTCACCTGGTCTCGGTCACGTTTGGTGACAGAAGTGCCCAGTTTTATTTCATTATTTTATCTGTAAGATTTTTTCCCACCTTGTTCTGAAAAAAACAATATTGTGCATGCATTTGGTGGTAAAATTCAATAGCTTTGAAACCTAAAAATTAATGGAACTGTGAAGTGTCGCAAAATAACTGGGTTTTTCATGTCAGACCTTTTTAAATCCACTGTCCTTGAATCTTGTTGGGTGATCGTCTTATTATTGTTGTAAAATCTTTCCTGTAAATAGTACTTCGGTGATAACATTCAATTCCAAGAAGACCTTTACGTCTGGATGATAAGCCACAGTGGCACTCAGCCGGTTTTGACAAATGTTACAAAATAGAATCGATTATCTTCCAGAATGTTTCACAAAGTCCCTTCCCTAAGTTCTTGTTTCGGTCCAAAAAAATGTTTCCAGTTGTATTCCAATGTAAACTGTTCGTTCTAAACTGTATTTTTGACGTATTCGTTCACTGTCTTCCTCCATGTATAGAACTTTAAAATAATGTGGAACTTAACTGATGGTGTAGGGATTTGTTAAAGTGACGTCATTCACGAAAACATTATGAACGTATGGACATTTTTTGAGATTGCAATGGAAATATTTTCTTTCGGCATTATCCCTACTTTTTCCACTGATTGATTCCACTGATTTTGGTTCTTTTGAACTCTGTTTCATCTTTACCTGAAAGGTGAATAAATTCATATCAGATCAGATCAGCGCCATTATAGACTAGCGGTTCTTGGTGTCTGATGCCAAGAAAACGTGAATGGGACGTTTGAGGACACGAACAGACACATGTGGGCGTTGCTAGGGCTTGGTGTGGGATGAGCTGCAGATTGGACAAACAAAACATACTGATAAACTTGTTTAATGCATACAGTTGCTAGCTAATAAAGATAGGTCTTAGCCGACACAATCATGCCGGATCGGCTATTCTCGTATAATTCGACCTTGTCCACTACATTTGGACGGGCAAGGTGTAATATGCAACGGCGAATCCAACTTATGGTTGGGGGGATTCAAAAGCGAACGCTGCTTCGAGCATATTTGACATGATGTTGGGGGAAAAAATATGAAAAACCTGAATGATGGTCTCGACATCCTTGCTTTTATTTCGTGGTGTTGTCTTCTAAAGCTTTTGTTGCCAATAAGTATACCAATTCCCCACCTACGAAGTATTATTTGTTTTAAAAAAAATCGGTCAGGGAGGGGACAAGTTGCCCCCACTGGATATGCCACTGGTAATATGCTTCTCTCTTTGAGAGAGATGGATAGAGGGTTAGTGGAACTGAATCTCTTCTATAAAAGTATTGGTTCTGAGGAGAACCAGTTAGTGTGAACTATAGACGTTATCGACCAGGATGTTCAGAGGACAACCAGAGCCTCCTGGTCAAAACGTCGAGTTCACACTCACCGGTTCTCCTCAGAACCACGACTCTCAGGATATAAAAGAGAGATCGAATCAACCTAGTGTTTCCCCGAATCTCTTAGTCTAGCCTCCACTATGGAAAATTTCACATCTTACACTCTCTATGGTTTCGTTCTCGCAATGTCTAAACATGTCTCAGTTTCCGAATTAATCACTTTTAATTTCAAAGTAGTTCGGCTATTATAGTTCTCACGTGACTTGAAACATGCATACATCCATGCCAGCCCACGACTTACAAATCGGTGAGATCACCTTTGACACAAATACAGTGCATTAATTATCTGATGTTCTTATATTCTCTTACCCACCACGCAGGAGCTTCGGACCGTCATAAGTCCCATACTCTGCATTGCAATTTTGAACATGGCAAGTCAACTGGACGTGTACCTTGATGGGGAAGGACTCCCGAAGGTAAATATGGCGTTATCTTTCCTTTTTTTCTGTGACCACGTACGAGCGTACATGACTTTCTCTTTCTGCTTCAAGGGCATCCATTTCTGATGAAATAAAAACACACATTCTCATATTTACATTTTCACGAACAACAAAACAAAAGTCGTGAACTTTTTTGGCTCAGTGAAATTGTCAGAGTGGGAGAGGCAGAGATTTAACATCACTCTCAATTCTCCCTCCAGGAAGCTCTTGCCATCTTCGAGACACTTCAAGTGTCCAAGGAGCAACAGCGTCAGATCATGAAAATTCTGAACCAGTCGATGGACAGGGGACTTCGGGCAGACACGAGGGACGAGGCTGCGCTGAAGATGCTCCCATCCTACGTTAGATCGCTGCCCAATGGAACAGGTAAATAAGCTGGAAGGTTACCAAGTGAATAAAACAAACACGTATTTATCTACTTAGGAAACAAGCCCTTGAGCAATTGTCAGTTTACACTCAATTTCAATTGTGTGGTTGCATAGAAATGGGCAGATTCATGAGCCTCGATATGGGAGGGAGCAACTTCCGGGTGCTGTTGGTCGAGCTTACAGACGAAGGGTTGACGACTACGGTGGACAGATACCACATACCACATGAGATTTTATTTGGTACTGCTGATTTGGTAAGTCTTCCCAGTATTAGTAATTGTTTCCTATACGATACTCATCTCCAAATTCATGAGCTTAGGAACAATGCGCTGTACACGTGGACACTGTCTTATTGTTCTTTCTGCTAGAATGTTGTTTATTTGTTTGTTTGTTTTTTGTTACCAGTTTTTCGACTACATTGCAGACCACATCGAAATATTTCTGAAAACGCACTGCCCGGCTGGTATATGTGACGATCTTCCGCTAGGTTTCACGTTTTCATTCCCATGTAACCAGCACGGACTAGATTCAGGTAATTTGATCGAGTTGAGCGATAGTCGTCTTATATGTGGTTAAGTCTGATTTTACAAGCATGCAGGTGCCTTTCATCACGATCTGCATGTACTTCCAATTATGCAGTAACTTTGACTTCTTTGCAGCTGAGTTAGTGATATGGACCAAAGGCTTTGCCGTACAGGGTGTTGTGGGGAAGGACGTCGTGCTTTTGTTGCAGAAAGCCTTAGACAAAAAGGTGAGGAAGATTTCAAATCCGTGTGCCGTTAGAAAAGCCAAACTGGTGTTATTATCAATATTATTTTCTGGTAATGACACTAACTTCTCAAAAGCGCTCTCAGCACTGTAGCTTGCAAGCCTGGAGAAACCTATAGAGAGTGGAAGGCGAGGAAAGAACCACTTCGCCAACCCAACTCCCCGTTATATCTTGCCATCAAATCGCTTATGCAACTGAGCTAAATTTGTTTGAATATTCATATTTTCTTCAGAACATCAAGGCTCGCACGGTAGCTCTGATAAACGACACGGTGGCAGTTCTGATAGGTGGTGCTTACTACGACCACAATTGTCAAATTGGACTCATCGTTGGTGAGTGATCCAAACATCAAGATCTCACCTCTTCAGAGCCACAGACAGACTTGTGACAGTGTTGCTCGAATTCGCTCTATTGGTAGAAAAAAGACGCCCGTTCTCCTCACGCATTGAACAAAGAGCTACAGACAGAAACTTGCTGGACACCGTTTCTTTTACATCATACTGAAATCATCAGTCATGCTTTTTTTCTTGAAGTGGAAGTGATTGCGAGGAGTTTTATATAACTGTACTTGTATTTTGGTATGCGTTTATAGGAACCGGCATAAATGCAGCGTATATGGAACCACTCAGCAATGTTGGTAAATGGAAAGGGGACAATAACGAACCACGTCAAGTTGTCATCAACATTGAGATGGGTGGCTTTGGGGACGAGGGCGTCATCGAATTCGTAAGGACTGAGATCGATCTCGACCTGGATAATCGAACAGTCAACAAAGGCAACCAACGGTGAGTCAGACAGACATTGAGAGTACGGTTGCATAGATGCACGGACGAACGGACGGACGATCTCGGCACGCAAATAGATGCACTCAGTCCTCCCAGTCCTCTGATTTTATCAAATACTGTTTTGCATTTGTCCATCAGGGTTGAGAAGATGATTTCGGGAAAGTATCTAGGCGAGGTGGCCAGGATTATCCTGGCAAAGCTCGCTCATCTGGGAGTTGCGTTCAGGGGCAAGCTGCCAAAGCCACTGGAAGAAGACTGGATTTTCACTACCAGCTTTATTTCTGAAATTGTTGAAGGGTGAGAGTTCCGATATAAGTGTGATCTATCCAAGTTGGCAAATGTGAAATAAAGTTGAATGATATCACTGGGTATTTAATTATTCAATTATATTAGAATATTACGCCTGTGTCTCAATCAAATCGATTGTGTCAATAGAGATACCGAGGATAGTCAACCGAACTGCCGTCGGATTCTACAATCGCTTGGAGCAGACGATCCTTCTCCCGCCGACTGCAGACTTCTGCACGCTATCTGCGCTCGTGTCACGCAGCGTAGCGCGATGTTGGCGTCATCCCTGGTGGCTGGACTACTGTCTCGCCTTAAGAAGCCTAATATGAGCATCGCTGTAGAGGGCAGTATGTATAAGGGCTTTCCCGCCTTCCGGGAGCGGATGACTGAACAGGTTGCCGAGCTGTCTCCAAATTACAAGGCGAAATTTGTCCCGGTGGAGGACGGGCCTGGAATTGGGTCGGCAGTCCTGGCAGCAGTTGTCACCAGAATGACTCAAGAAAAGCATTAAAAATTGAGAACCATTTCAGTCTGAACTTCTGGAAAATGTTTAAAAGCACTTTTACGCCAGCATTAAAACTATTTTTTGCTCTTTTTCAACTTGGTAACTCCGGTTGAATACCTAGGTATCTGCTACTTTCAGTTGGGCTGGATTTAAAATACGACGGTCCACATTACATTAATTTTTCATGGACCCTAATCATTCATTTATTCGTTTAAGATTATTTGCAAATCGTGATCGATGACCATTTTTCTTAATATTATGCACAGTCATGATATATACTTTAGCTCATTTAGGGTTTTCAGGCTGATAACTATAACGGTTATCGTCATGTGTCCTTACCCTTTCGTCTGTTATCATTTCTGTGTGCGTCATCCTGGTGCTTTATCTCCCAAGGGCATGGATTAAACAGTTTCATAAAACAATTAGGATGACTTCAGTGAACTGGTTCACCATGCGAAAGAGGCATGGCCGATAGTGGGATGCTGATTCTTTACAGTTAGGCTACGTTAACCATTAGGATTTCGTACGTGACACAGGAATGATATCTAGACACAGATAAACTAAAAGGCCTTCACGCGATCCAAAGAGATAGAGTAGGACATCAATAAACTTCCCCTTAGTCGCCTGAACTGTATGACTTGCCGTTTTATTGGAATTTCTGTGACTTGGATCTGTTTGCTCTTTGTTGTGGGTGGAAGTTATTATTCTGAGGGAATTGGGAAGGCTTCAGTTGGTTTTCGAGCGAAATTTGAATGCAATGTCTAGGGACAAACCTCAGAGTAACGTCTCGGCGTTGACCTTCTCGTGCTCTTGTGAACGATTTTCAATGATTTAACCCGGGTAGCCGAACAGGACGAAATCTTCCAATTTTAATTTGAATTTACACACGCCATAGGGAGTTAGCGCCAATGGGTAGATTTTGAACACAGTTGGTAATTAAAAAATTAGTTGTATTGAGTGTGCGCAGTAATGCGAATTTTATCTGTTTGTTGAACGGATCTAGACGAAGTTTCGTCGGCCCTTGAGGCATGTACGTGCGTGCGTCAACTCAGTTGCACAAATCGAACCGAAAGAGGGCGTTGTATAGTACATTGTTTAGTTGCGTGTCGTGCAGTCAGGAAGGTCGACGGTCGATTATGAGTTAAATAAATCACATTTCCCCATCCTTCAAGAACGGTGGGCAGATTGTGAGTGCTGTTTATGTCAAAGTATCCACTGTAGATCATGGAATCTCTACCAGGAACAGCCAGTCTTATAGAAGAAATTGATAGTAAGTTGAAGATCAATTTACGCTATTCCGCATAGACGAGGCTACATTGCATGATGATGTGTGCATATTCTACATGTGTACGGTCATGACGGTTGTTCGTCTGTTTCTGACATGACGCGTAGTATGAGATGATTTACACGTCGCCATTGCCAGTTTCGCTGTCCACATGGGAACACACACAATCACAGCTTCACTTCTGCTAAACAAAGTTTAATTCGAAAGTATTTAACTCATTTATAACCTTTGTCATTCAATCTTTTTTTACAGAGAAAATTCTAGTTGTTTTGCGAGATGGGCGGACATTAATCGGCTATCTACGCAGCATTGATCAGTTTGGTAGGCTTAACTATTTATTTATATTTATACTTTGTTTACATTGTTTTACATTTCAGTCGTGTGTTGTTATAACTTCCTGAATTCTGGAGCACTTAACTTGAGCTCTTGGATTGCTTTTCTTCCACCAGCCAACCTTGTACTTCACCGAACAATTGAGCGCATCCACGTTGGCAAGCAGTATGGTGACATCCCTCGCGGTGTCTTTGTTGTCAGAGGAGAAAACGTAATGCTCATTGGAGAAATTGTAAGTTTAGGTTTGCCAACTTGTAAGTGACAAGCTTAAATTAAAAGCAATATGATCCAAGGAGCAATTCAGCTTATGGGGCAGTGTGGACATCTGGGATCCTCTCAAAATGGCAGGTACCATGCTGGTGAAAACAGTGATGATGGTGACATACGTACAAACCAGCCAGTCCGAGGATCGGGTTACACAGTCTTTTCTTTGATTTCGTTGCTCATTGCAGTTGTTTTCATTGGCAGGGTGTGGTTGTTAAACTCACGGATGTCTGCTTTGCCCCATAGCTGAAGCACATGCATATGTAACTGGGTCTAAGTGCTGCAGTTAACATTTTCAGTTTATATACCAATGCCAGTATACGTTACTGAGTGATTTCTTCTTTGCAGGACTTGGCAAATGAAGGTACATTGCCCCTTGAGCAAGTCTCCATTGATGAGATCCTGGAGGCCCAACGAGCCGAGCAGCTCAAGAAACAAGAAGAAGAGAAAACAAGAAACAAGAAATTGTTGGAGAGAGGTTTACAGCCTCACGCAGATACCACACATGAGGAGTTTGCTTAGCATTAGTCATGTTGTGAACTTGTCTAAGACCCTTGCTGGTGCTTTGAATGTGAGGAGTTGTGTCATGTCACCCTTACACAGTGTTACACTGAACTAGCAAGATGGTAAATCAGGTGGATGAAAGACTTGTGTTAAGGAAATGGATGGTGGAGCTATGGAAGTTGAAAGAAGGACAAGAAAACAAGATGCAATGAAAGATGCCTTCGCAAAACCAGCGGCATACCTCACGAGGTATACAATTGTGTACCTGAGGTTATGTATAAAAATGTTGCCAATAGCTCTTTGGGGTGCTATGAAAGCTGTATCAAAATAAGAAACAGAAAAATGTGTAGCATCTCTTGTGTTATGTAAAATGTGTGCTGTCTTTATCACAGAAAATATTTGGATGGACTATGCTGATGCGTAGCAAATGAGGTGGTCAAAAAGAGCCTGGGTACCGTATAGATTGAGCTCAAGAGGTGGATATGTTACGCCGCATGTATTTTTTGATGGAAAAAAGACACCGACTTCCATTGACTGGAACCAAGTTACATAAGACACAGAGCCTTGCACAGGGCCTCTTGTACAGTTTTGTAGATGTCCTCTGTGGCGAGCCTAGAATGAGTTCATTCAGATGTATTTTTTTCTACTTTGAACTGCTTCAAACAGCTAGCCAAACTTTATTTTCTCTTTAGAATTTATTTGTAATTTAAATTCATGCTGCATTGACATTACAGTAAATATTGGGGGTTTATTATGTTCAGAAGTGTGTATCACTTTTAATAAGACTATTGATTACTTCCATTTCACAGGTTTGTGCATATGACTCAAATTAAAGATACTCTGACGACTTCTAAATGGCAAGACTAACTGGAAAAGATTCATTTCAAAAATAAGGTGACAAAATAATCAATTTTGAATAAAATTAAATAGTGGTTCATTTTATCTTGCCATTGTTTACTAGAGGTCATACCAAACACAAGGAAGTTCATTTGTATATAATCTGATGCCCAGATGAAATGCAGTGTATTGATCTTTTCAAAAGCTCAGACTTTCCCAACTCACACAGCATTAACAGTGTTGAAAAATACATAAATGGTGGACTTAAAGCTGTTTGCCGCTAGCTAGATTTTTATATGGCCCCTCCAGTGCAAAATCTGGCGATCAAGTACTCTGGCTTCGTTTTGGTCATCAGTGCTGAAAATTTAATCTCTGCAAATATGGACAAGATACATTTGCTACCTCAATGAACATCAATCTACAATATTGCCAAATAAAACATTGTGGAAAATGTAAAACCCGAAATATACACATAAGCTTAATATAAGATAAAGTTTCACTGGAAATCCAAGTACAGTACAAAATATACACATCATATTTCTGCGTTTTTCTGAACATAAATTTGATAGTCTGCTTTCACTACAGTTTTTGACACACTGTGTACATGTACTTAAAGGAATGTTTTTGTATAACTTGGTTACAGTGATTGACTTTAAACCACAATAACAAATGACCCATAAACAATTTAATAACCTTACCTTGCTAAAGAACAGCACAACTTGACAATATGCAAACACTGACCCAATGGAACAGAAATACTACCAGTATGGATCTCTGCTAATATGGAGATTTCCTTTATGGAATTTCCACAAGTGTATCCTGGGAAACCCTGCCTTATAGGGGAGCTTGCACTGCAGGCAATCCCATGAGCCTCAGCCTACCCATGGGAACCCGGCTTTTGCTGCAGAATCTGTAGCTTCAGTTGAATTTGGCAAAAACATGCAGCACATCTGAAAGCACTCGTCTCTTGGTCAGAGCCTAGAGAGATAGAGATCCAAAAGGAAGCTTAAGAATGTTTACTTTGTCACCCTGCTGTGTTGGAACTGCAGAGGGCAATATACTGGAGGCCTACTCATTGACTGCACATGGTCGTGCACACCAGTCCCAATACAGAATGCTAACTATTTTCAATTGAATTTACACGATGAACACATCACACAAATATGCCCAAATGAATTCCCTATTGGAAGGTATAGTCCAAACTACAGACCAATATCTTACAGATATACGTAAAAAAAACCAGATTCATTTCATGCATGAAGAAATTAACTGACAACGTTTACCCTGAGCCTTGAGACGATGTTGTGAAAATCTTTGTTGTCACCTCTACAGATACTTGGGCTGAGGTACACAGACAGTGCCTTCAACTGTGGGCAAGCACCTGTGAAAAACAAGGACAGGTGTATTATCAGGTACCTAAATCATGAAGAAACGTCTGTGGAAGGCTTGTAGTTGTTTTGCCAGTCCTTGTGAATGTCCAGCTTCCACATGGATCCATCTAAGATTGGAAGGGAACTAATTCATAAGACATTCAATTCTTTAGTCACAAACTATCACAACTGAGTAAAGTTTTCAGAATTGGTGTCTGGCGAAACAAAGAAGGAAAATGAGAAGTGGAAGTACTTACCATTGAACTGCATGATGGCATTGGGACTGATAAGTGTGTTTCGGAGGATTAGGGTATGAAGACCTCTCAATCCAGCCTGGCACATCGCTATAGCGATGACCTCTGTGACCTCAGGAAGATGGTCAAGCTCTAGGACTTGCAGTCTGGGGCAGTTACGTGCTGTGCAACATGAAACCGGACCAAATCATTAAGGCACTGTTAATAGTCAGACTTGTTAGTGGAACTGAACTTGAGAACAGTACAGAAAATATTTTTGCCATGAAAAAGGGAAAGGTTGAGAGCAAGTGATACAGAGCAAGTCATGTTACTCAGTATAATCATAAATTGAACGTCATTTGTCAAACTTTTCATTATTTTTCTCCACTGTCTTCACCCAACAGACAGCAACTATTCACTTCACATTTTTTGCCGTATATGCCATTTCTTGTCATTCTTTGGAGGTCAGTCTTAGAAACCTTCTTGTAATATCACTCTTTTGAGGTGAAGAATTGTAATCTCTGGGTGGATTCAAAGTTAGCTTTCCAGGCGTGGACAGGGTACAGAAGATGAAGAATCGGTTGCTCTTACCAATAGAAACAAGTCCGTGGATATCAATGCTAGGTCCACCCACACTGAGTGCGAGCAACAACGGCCAACACCGACCAATCATCTGCAGGCAACGATTGCTGAGTCGTTGGTGCTGAGGACTGGGGAAAAGAAGACCAGGCATGCAGATGTGTGACGTGACGAATGAGTGTAACATGTGACCAAAGTTGCATAGATTTAAACTTCAGAATCATCGGTGGAAAGAGAGTGTTTTGTTCCAACACTGTCGATGCCAAATCATAGGTCAATGAAATGTTTGGTGAAGTAGGCTGTTTCAACCCTAGCATCCCCAACTCTCCCAGTGAGAGGCTCTCAGCATTAATGATTGGAACGTTGAAAGGGATTTCTGTTCACAGCATAGCCACATAACGTCACATACCAGCTACAGTTCCAGCACTAAGGTAACACTGAGCTCAATATTACCATTGTTTCTTGATTATTGAAACTTACTTTCAGAAAACAAAGATAGTAAATCTTGTTTTTCCTACCAAGGTTGACGAGGTGGGACTTTGAGGGATGCTATGTTTCGGCAGCCGGCTCCTAATGCCCATATGACTTCGTGACCTATGGGGTCGGTCTGGCTGATGTAAGATAGACTGTAGAGATTACGACAGTAACAGCTGGCCAGAAAAAGACTCCTATGACGCCAAAAAATTGGAAGTAAACTAAGTTGTTACACAAACAATGCAAATACAACCTACAGTAGGAGATCACTTCTTGGATGTGCAGTAATGTCGACACTTGAGAAAAAAAGAAATTTTGAGCTTCGTTGTTGTAATTAATTCATCTGCCTTTTATTTACCTCTCAGTAAGAATGTTTGAACAATCCACTATCTTCAGGGTGATGAGTCTAGCTCCAGCTGCAATCAAAATGTACTCCAAACCCGACTCCAGACTACCCCTACAGAATCAGGAAAATAAATGATCCTGTTTCATTTACAAATCTTTGAGCCTTATCAGGAAATTGTGGTTGTAATGTCTGTAAGTAACAGAGTTTGCTATGATTGTGTCATTCAACCTGAGAATTATCGTCTGTGGGGCCGAATTAGTTCACATAAGAGAATAATGTTTATTGTTACTAATTCCTTTGGACCGTATTTTTGTCCAAGTTCTTCATCTTCAGAAATAAGTATCATTTGATAATGCCCAGGCATACACATAAAACAGAAGTACTTTATCAAGACAAACTCTTCAGAGTAAGACATCCTTAACTGCATTCTGTACACGAAATTTTACAAAGCAAGTGACTCAATCAAGCATTACACAAATGACCAACCTGGTGTTCTTGGCGTATTTTTCCCTGCTTTCTCCTGGTATCCTGCTTCGTGGCTTCAGACCTTCTAAGTGTAAGTGCTCTAAGCTTTTACTCCACTGTGATATAGTCTGTAAGAACTTGACGTGCAGGACAAAACAGAAACAAGAATGACTTCTTTGACTTTGGAGTCACATTAACAAGATAATGATAACTGGATGAAGTGAATCTTTACACGTTTACCTTTGAGGAGATCTTGTGGTTGGCTAGTCGTACAATCTGCCACAGAGATGGATGCTTAGAGATTGTTCTCCATCCACGACACACCTCCGCACAAGTCAAGAGTGTCTCTGTGTCTAGATAGGTGAATACACACAGCCAGACTGCTTGCCAATGCGGATCTTGCTTAGGGGGCACCCTAATATTTGATCTTGCTGCAGGAAAAACATTTAAGAAAAATGTAGTTGACTTTGAACTGTATCACGTGATATATGTTGCTTTCTATTTGCATTTTTTGTGGGATAATACACCTTAGAAAATGGCGTAACATATTTATGGACTGTACTTTTTTCGTATTTATTCTTACCTGGCCCTAAAACTATAAAAAGAAGTAAATAATCCAACACTTTATTTTACAATTTACACATCTGCACATTTCAAACAGTACTTACATTTTTGTTCATAGATTGAATTTGTCTCATCTGTGTCATAATCGTAATCATGGTCATCATAATCACTCGTGGACCAACGACGGTTCACAGAAGACGACCTTGCATCTGGTCTGTATGCCTGAAGTGGTGAATGCAATTGGTTGGTATGAAGAGATCTCACATTTGCTTGGTTACCTGGCTGCAGACCAGCACTAGATGGATTACTCATATCTAGGTGTTTTCTGGCTTCTCGGTTTTTCAATACATCTTCCATAACTTCATTTAGGAAGTTTAAATCCCATGATCTGTGGCTGATGGCTGGGCTGTTATCACTCTGGTGGGCGGGGCTTGACTGAAGGAGGGTTGGATTCACTGAGGGCTCAATCAAAGCCTCAGTTTGGAGACCATGTCTGCTTCCACTGGTTCCGTGTGAGTTGTTAATTATCTGTTGGAAATCTGCAGAGCTCTGAGATTTATCAGACAAGTTGTAACTTCTTTGCAGTTGTGGAATGTCGTAGTGTAATAAGCCCTCTTTTGATGAATATGGTTGTGATTTTGAGACCAGTTGGGTATCACTGCCAGCTGTACTTGGCTGGTTCCCTGCATACAAGGATCCCACCCCAGAATCTGCATTGACTGCTGCTGATCGATGGTACCCATTGGGGTCATGACCCAAAGACAATGCAGGGCTGATGCGAACCTCTAGATGCTGTTTTGGAGAACGAAGTGCTGATGTCTGGGAGCGTGGGAAATCAGTGGGAAGGAGGGAACTAGCTGTTGTTGTGGTTTGCCAATCTTTGTTCAGCTGAGTAGGGGGGTCTGTGGACTGCCAAATGTCTGAACTTGGAGTTGATCTGTGAAGGTCGTGATGGACTCTGAGAGGATTCTAAACAAAAGAACAAAACCTATTAATAAAGCTCAGTAAATCGATCCACCACTGGTGATATTATATTAAAAAGGAAAAGAAAAGTTATCTGAAGCTGAAAGTTTTCATGCAAGGTCTCTCTTCTCTACAAGGGTCATTAAGAATCTCAGTCTAGCTACATGTACCTGGCTGTGATCATGTTTGAGCCTTGAAAACCTGTCATCACTAACCAATGTGCCCAGTGAACTAGCAGGCTGCAGATTGTGGTGCATGGTGCTCCTAAGCGTTGCAATCTCATTCTCAGCACTCTCAGCTCGTTGGATCAGCTCCTCCATGTGAATCTTAAGGGCCGTCCGGGCCTGTGCTTGCTTCTCTGCAGTCTCCTCAAGAAACCGATTCAGCTCAGTGACGGCCCTGAAATATTGAGCAAATGACACTGAGACAAACCATTACACATTTTGCCATTTGTGCATCCAAATCCTACAGTTAACACAAAAGCATGCTACACCTCACAGAGTGTTGGCTAGAAAACTTGTTAACAGTGACTTACTTTTCTTTGGAGGCCAGCTCCTTCTCTCTCCATCCCAACTGGGCCTCCAGCTGACCAATCTGCTCCAACGTCTGCTCCAACTGTCTTCCCAATTCTTGGTTTTTGCTCCTCAGTCTTACTCCCTCAAGTGTCTCCTTCTGAAGGCCTTGAGATACTCTAGATGCCTCTCTCTCTTTCTGATGAAGATCCTGTCTAAGCTGACTGATGAGCAGGTGATCTTCAGGCCTTGGAAGTGATCCATTCCTCCGTGGCACTGGTAGAACATCCTTGGCAGAGAATTGGACCAATTCCCTTTTAGCTGCTGTCAGAGAATGATTAGGTTGTTCTCTGCGTACGTTTCTTGGTGTACAGTGGGACGATGGCAATAACACACTCTGGAGAATTTCAGCACTTTTTGGTCTCTTATTCTCAGAGAGACTTCCCGAGTACAAAAGATGTGTCTCTAGGATCCGGGCTTGATGTGAGAAATGGCCTTTGGGAAACAGCCAGTCATAATCTGTTATGGCCTCCATACTATGGGATGCCTGTTCCTAACAACAATGCATTGATGAGTGGAAGAGGTTGGTGCCAGACCTGAATTGGCAAAATAAACAAACTGATCAAAGACACAGGAAAAAAAGAAGAAAGGTGTTAGTCCTAGCATTTGTATGATCAACTATTACCTGATGTATTGGGATTTATCTTATAATGCCTACAATTTGTTAAGAATGTGAAATTAAATAAGCTTTCTTGTTGGCCCAAAAGACTGAATCAGTCCAACTTGGGTGGTCCAGACAACAAATAACGTGACCCTGTCACCTGGTCCTGATCATTTGGCAACCCCCCCTTCTTCACCAGGCATCACTCTGATCATAAAAGGGCCTAGGTGGCAAAATGAGGACTCTGGTGACTACCATGTCCAGGGATGGTCATTGATGTTTAAAGGCCTAGGCCCACGTTTGTAAGAAACATTTTTGGAAAAGGTTGCTTGGCTTTTTCCAAGTTGGGAGAGCATCAGTTTCAATTATGTTTACACACATCAAGTTTATTGCAGTGGGGTGACGCAGACATCCAGGACTCTCGCAAAATGGCGGGTAGTAACTGATGAAAACAGCGACCATGGTAACGTACGCACGCATCAGCCAGTCAGGGGCTCATCCCCTCCTTCCTCCATGGATTATACAATCATTTCTTTGATCAGTTTGTTGTTTGCATCGGCATGGTGTGGTTGCTACCTGCCATTTTGCAAAACTCCCAGATGTCCGCACAGCCCCATTAACTTAATGAACAACATTCATGAACAGATTCATTCAGTACACCCCCAGGAAAGCCTTGACCGCATTACGATCTCTCTAGCCTATTTTACGGCCAAAACTAAGTTAAGGACTGTACCAGAAAAGTTGGCCTCCATTTCGCTCAGAACAATCTCCAGCTTGCAAGTTTATTTTGAAAGGAGGCGTGGGCATGGGGGGTAGGGCATACCGCATCCTACTGAGATTTGAAAGAAAACAAAAGCTCAATGTCGCGGTCAGGCTAATTCTAGCAAAACATAACGTTAGGCCTTGGCCTATCGTACCCCGGCCCAGACATACCAGAACCTAGCCCCACTAGTGTGGCACGGACTCTCACTCCCGATTTATAAATCGGGAGTGAGAGTCCGTGCCACAATAGTGGGGCTAGCCAGAACCGTGCACGGAGTCCGGGAACGGACGTCGGACCCCTTAGTTGTGGGGGTAAACCACGTATTCCTAAGCAGTACCTGTCAAGAAGGAGGTGGCATGTATTCGAAACTGTGGGAACGAGTCACCACACTCCCTGCTGCCCCTAACCCTTTACCCTTGAAAGATCGATAGGGCCCGGGTTCGAGACAGGTCGACCAAGTTGCGTACCACCAGACGCTGGTTATAGTTAGACAACGCGATGATATCCAGGCGCCTAACCTATATAGCGGCCGCCTGCCTAGCCTGCGCCCGGCCGGGCCGTACGGTACGTATACGGTACGCGCTTGTGAATTTGAAAGGCCGCCCTCAACGACCTTGAAATAATTTCACTTCTGTCGCGTACGTCGCATCACTTGACAACGTGACGCTATGCAGTGACGTACGTGGGTCCTTTGTATTTTTCGCCTCATCTTAATTCTTACGCATGACGACTGAACTCTTCGCTGTCCCTTTCCTTGGCATGTTTGGTGATCGTGCCGAGACAGTTGTGGTCTGGTTCAGATGTGATAGGTGCATTCGTAGCCTTCCGTCAACACTTAAAAGGTACAGTATATGGGTAGAAACCTTTAATAATTTCTTGGGTTCAGTTATCATTCCACCATTGTGTCCACGTACGGGCCTAGGCTGATCAGTGTTAATTCCAAGAATCCAACCGTCAATTTTTTATAGGCTAACCACAGAGCTTCATCATTAGAGGCTTTCTTCATGTAGGCATGTTACTGTTAGGAATTCGCTTAGGCCAAGACAGAGTTGTTGGTACACGTCTTTAACATGTACACTAAGTCAACCATTGTACCAGACCAGTAATAGAAACTAGTAGGCTACCCGACACGCGGACTAACACTTTTCCTGGGTGGAAGCTTTCTCAAGTCTCAGTTCTCACCACCCCTTTTTCAGTGAATTTTGCTAGACACAAATTCTAGAGTTTGTGATGTGAGTCCCCAAAATTAAGAAGTCTTTGTGTCATCTAACTGTTTGCCTTATGTTATCTAATATGTACTTTGAATGTGATTTGTTTACACAGTGAAGCACTTCAGTGGCGTTCGCAAATAGGGCTCTTAGGCTTATTTTTGAAGTTTCAAAATATTAATTTTTTGTTTATTTCCTCAAGTGAGTGAGTATGAATAAAATTAGTGGTGGATCCATTTTAAGTTTTTTCCCTCATGTTTGTTCCCAGAAGAGAGCTAGATTACCTGGGTTGACACTGAGTTGCCCATGTTCGTGAATATTATGTACGCCTGTACAGGTAATGGTGGGATGGAAGTGGGCCAACTGATCACCACAGAGAGGGCACAGACATATAAACCAAAGGGCGTGGGAAGGGGGGTTGTTCACTAACCTGAGGTGGTGTTTGTAGGGCATGCAAATAACAAAGAACATGGCAGTAAATGTTGGAATGGAATTAGCCCCAGGAAGTTTTTGAAGGCCATTAAGGCTATTTGTCTTCTCTTAAAAGTTATTTGTTCATTATTATGATTATAAATTTATTTTTGGAGGGGATTTAGAGACATGGTGGACAGGGATGGTTAACATGGAGTCATGGGGTGTACAGAAGAGGGGACCGACCACTGGAGGATGTGGGGTGTCATATTTAGTGTTGGGCTTGTAAAGACTGTCAAACTGACAAGTACATTGTAAATAAGAAAAGGACACATTAAGGGCTTTACTTGTAATTTATTATGCAAGGATGTTCACAGTGACAGACTAAGAAACCTCATGTTATAAAAACTAAAAATACCATTTTTTATTAAAATCCATTACCCTGTCACTCTCTTAAGCACGTTATTTAAATGAACTGGAAATGATTATTAGAAGATTCAAAGTTTGAAGCTGTTGAAATTGGTTTAAGAATTTAAACAATATATGCTGTTACACTGCCAAACACTAGGACTCGCCCTTTGAATAAACTTTTTTTGTTTAGGACATCTTGGCCACTGTAGATTTCAAAGGCCGCAGGCTGCATACATGGTGATTTAGGCAGGAATTTTACACAAACACGTGGTCAAATCCACTAAAAGCTGCCTACTCGCGGGCACAAAAAGAAGTCTTTTTTTTGTGTGTTTTGTGTGTGTTATTGTGTACAAATAAAATAACCTCTAAAAATTTCAACTGCATTGTAGTTTTCTAGAAATTTTGTTTCAAAGCCTCAGGTATGCAGAAATAGGAGGATCAAGGATATATGGAACTCTTACCAAAGTTGTACCTGACACCAACCTTAAAACTTTTAGGAGTAGGTAACATCTTATCAGGCAAGGCCAAGGCCCACTGGCGTGACCTGCCCAAGGCAAGACTTTCAAGCTGGCCCAAGATCAGCATCCAAATTAGACAGGAAAATGCAGTTAGGCCTAGGCCTATGTAGTAGCTGCCACAAACCTACTGCACCACACAGAGGTGCCTTTTGGTTTCCTGGAGTACCACAAACCTGACCCTGATGATGCACATATATGTACATGTATAGGCCCTATTGTCACAACATATTGGTATATTAAGAAACAGGTAGCCTAATAAGTAATAGAAAGATTCCAAAAGAAATGAAACTCCAGACCCTTAAATCGATTTCCACTCCAGTCAGTGATCAGAATACTAATTTGGGAATTTTCTCTTTTATTTATCTTTTACAGATAAAAGGAATCTGGCCAAATTCAATTCAGTGCAATTTGGGACAACATCTTTTCTTGAAGATGGCAAATGCTGAGCTGTACAGGTGGCTTTCAGCCACTGTTCTTGTCCTTGTCTTGTTCTCGGTTGGACAATGTGCAAACTCCAACAATAATGGCAACCTAACTTTAGACGATGTACCCAGCGATCACGTTTACCTGTCAAGTGGTGAATATGACGAAGGGGGTTTTCCTTTACCAACAACTTGGGGGCTCATTAATAGCTTCTTGCGCACAATCTCACCGGCTCCTCCACCTTACGGTAAGTTTTGCTGACCAAAAGTAATTATGACAAAAGGCAAAAGTACATTTCTTCAAACTCTTGAAACTAATGTCAGAAAAAAGTTGAATTTTGTTTGATACGGTAGTCTGCTATGGAGTTGTTATTCCTTTGTTGTACTGATTTTGAACACATGTCTGCCTATTTGTTCAAGACATGTCCTACCTGTTGTCCAAACAAAACTTGTGCCTAAATTGACTAACTTCTCAACCTGTGTACAAAGAAGTACTTGTGTGTGACATTGGCATTTTGTATATTCTCAACCTGTGTACAAAGAAGTACCTGTGTGTGATGTTGACATTTTGTATATGATCAATCATTTGAGCTACATTATGAAAGTTTCAATGCCTGAAACATAAAGCTGAATTTACATAGCAAACATCTCTCTGTGAAAGAACATCACAGAAACACAAATCAGGGCATCTGTGTTAAGATAATTCAATGAGTCTCATCTCCAACCAACCCTTATTTTTGGTTTCAACCGAGAAGCTACAATCTAGAATTTCCTACTGAGATTGGAAAAAAACGAGAAAAAAAAATGATTATGTTAAGAATTTTCTGGGATAAGAAGTAATTTTAGTGAAGCCTCCTTTCCCCTGATAGACCCTCCCTAAAGGGTCTAAATATGAGAACCATTTAGAATTAACTATACACACCCTAAAGGAATACTTTTTACTGTCCAACAGTGACTCAGAATAACATATTACAATACACTGTACCTTGAAGGCAGAATAGATATCTTTTCCTTTTTTTGTATGCATAGCAGCAATGTACCCCCCCCCACACCAGTAGTTTTAAAGGAATTTTCACTTTTGGACATACATGTACTCTTAGTCAAACTGAAACTGTTTACATCATTCTGTTCTTTGATGAAAAAAACCACCATGGATGTCAAGTAAATTATTGTACCTTTCCTTGACAAGTTGAGATCAGTATGTTTGTGGTACATGTACATGTAAGTTTCAACCAGACAACAATGAAGAATTCTCTTTGCATGTAACGTTCAAATGTACGGTTGAATCACATTAAAAAGTTATTTATTCACCCAACCTGGCATTAAATTTACAGGCATGGGACCTTTCCTTGGATCAGCTGATCTCATTTTTCACATCACACTCATACCTTTAAAAATTGAAAAACACTATATAAAGTCTTGTAGATATTGGAATTTCCTCATTTTTTCTCAAAGTCCAAGTTGTACTCCTGTTGAAAGCCTGATCAACAATACCCCAATTGCATCAGTGGCAAAATTCCCTGAATATTCAAGTTGAACAATATTTGAACATGTGTTTTGGCATGGAAGTCATTGCTGAAAGCAAATGAATAATCGATATTGCTGATGGCAGGCATACATGTACAGTACATGTACATGTAGGCGTGACGTGGTGTGGGCCTACTACTAGCACCAGTCCTTGCCAAAAGTAGAGACGTACATGTGCCGTGTTATTTCCTGTTCGGCGGCAACATTACATTTTTTTCCAGCTAGAGAACAAAAACAGGCCAAAGCTTGTGCCTCATTGAACTTCTCAAAAGTGTCTGATGAGAAACGTTTTTAATGTTGCTTATGGCATTTGTTGCCAATTATGTCTATCTGTGACGTAGCGGCATATTTTTTTTTCTTTCACTTTTCCTGCAATATTTCGTACATGTATAGACACGACAAAATCATTGCTGGATGAGAACGTTTAAATTGGTAAGCCAGGGGATGATGCTATTGTGATGTCTCCATGGCAACCAGGCTTGAGCCTGTTTGAGCAATTACAGCTTCAGCCAAATGAGATTGCTGAAGTGGAGTTATTGCACAATAACTGCCTTAATAATTGAAGGCTTTTAAGAGACATAATAGAATCCTCAAAGCCCTATACTGTATGCTTGTAAATGAACCAAGTTATAACATTGCCATATCATCAAGCATGAACATGAACAGGTGTATGTATGCAGTGACTATGTAATTGATGTAGTTTACGCAGATCATCATTACATTGCATAAAGAGGATGCTGATACTGGTATCATGTTCCCATTTCACATTATGCACATGTCAGCTCAAAAATGCTAGCTCTTGCATATTTAAATGATTATAGGTACCTTCAGATGATAACAGATGCCAGATTTTTGGGCTTGAAAATGGACATTTTCTCTTTTTGATGAGGAGACATTCTTCTGAAGGAATCACTTGTAGGATACCACTGTTTACATACAGCACTTTATTTATTATCAGCCTTTAACACCCTTTCTTTACTTTAGAGGGACTTGAAACTGATAAGGCAAGAGATAAATATTAGCTTCCCACTCATGAGGAGCATCAAGAGGGTTATCATTCCTGAAACCTTCATATTCAGTTCTTTCAATTTATTGCAGTTTCTACAAGTTGCATAGACAGTTGTAGTTTTCTTTTTTAAATGCAAATGTACATGTATGAATACTGAAGCATGTAGCCCCAATAACTTGGTTTGATTTCCTTAGTTTACTAAATTAAGGAATTTACATTTACACTACACACTCATTACCTTCCTCCTCTAATCGATGTAAATTTATTTAAACGTACAATCTTCAGCTTCAATAAAGTGGAAAAATAAAATGGTGTTCATAGCAACTTCATTAAATCTTCTCATTCAAAGTCTCAAATACATGTATTTGTCAGACTTTTTCAATATATTCCACAGTTTGAGACACCTGCCAATTTTCACAACCGGATTTGCCATTGTAAAGAATAAAACTAACACACCTGCCTTAGTTGGTTATAGAGAAAATGTAAGAAATGAGAAACCTTTAAAAACTGACGTACAGGTAGGCATTCAACACTCATCAAACAAGTGGTGACAGACAGACACAATGCCCATCTTGACGTGTAGGCCTACTTAACGGGGAAGTATAAATGTCTTCGTTGGCTCAGTCTGCAGCTTCATTATCTTCCTCTCTCTCCTCGGCTGATAAAAAAATTCACTTCATTTTGTGTGTTAAAATATGCATACAATACACTCATAATGCAAGAACTTCACGTTAAATACTGCATGTTCTGTTTCTCTGTATCAGTTTTTCTTGGGAAAAATTCAAGTAATAAACATACAACTGTAGTCTAGTAAAGTGCAATGCCTACAATTGTATGTTTGCACCTCCCTTTCAGTTCCGCGTAATCATTGTTACAGTCTTTGTTGCCCCTTCAAAAGCTTTTACCGTGAAACAGAATTTGAGTTCAGTTTGTACAAGGACACCTAGGCCAAACTGTTGTTTGTACGTGTATTCGGGGAATTAAGGTGATTGTGAATGGCAGAAGTTAAGGGCAGGGGAACAAATGGGGTTGTCCCACAGCCTTGTTGTTGCTTTCGAAACCATTCGTGCTCAAAAAATATAGGGGTCATGGGCTTTTGTTACAAAAATTATAATGCACTGTGTCCAGTTTATACCCTCACTACGTGTACATGTATGGCTGAGCTTATACTTCTAGGCTGTCAGTGGTGGTGGTTGTCAGTTGAAGCTTAACCTGTTACCTGGCATCAATTATCAAACAAAAAGAGAGAGTTAAAAGTTGTTCAGCAGAGATTTGTTATGAGTTCCTCTCTCCCTCTCTCCAAACCCATGATTTTCTGTTCTTTGCTTTCAAACTGAGACTGGTTGGATTTGCCAAACAGGGCAGAACTGGGCAGACTCATTTGCTGGGGGGAGGGGAGATTATGCCCCAACACACACACCCACCCATTCCAAAATCTGTATCCTTGTGGAGATACATGTATGGCTTTGTTTACACAAACACCTTACATTTGTACTCTTTGTGGGGTATATTTCCTTTATTTGGGTGTACTAAAAAATTGGTGCGTGAAGTGTAAATCTCTGCCATGTGAAACAGACTTTCCTTCATGGGTTGATATTTCAACCAAATGTCCCTTACATCATTACATGTGTATACATTTGTACATCAACATGGACATTGACCATGTAAGAATCATACGTACATGTTTGTTGTTACACTCCTTGTTCTGGTACCCCGTAAGGAACCATAAAGTCACTTCCTCTTGCCAGGTCCTTTAATGGGTGGGGCTTAATGGATCGGTCTATTAATGCCTAATGCCCCCATCTCCCCCCCCCCACTTTGACAATCATGCTGCCTCAGTTGCCAAGGGTTACGCTCATTTGTGGAATTCTTGATGTGCAGTCATGAACAGAATTCTCGCTTCATTGCTTGTTGCTTGTGAGCTGTTTCCATTTAAACCCCCGATATCCTTACAGAATTCATTGTGTACATGTAATGGCCGCTGGAATCACATTGACTTAGAATCACCCAATGTTTGTTCTAAAGATTGGAGGCATTGAAAAAACTTGTCCGTTCTTATAAAAAAAAAGAAACACAGGTCTTTTTGAGACACACGGCTGTTTTCATCATTGCCTTTTTATGAGTTGTTGCATTATATTTCTCCTGTATAAATAGGAATGCATGAAAATATCAGAAAACTTAGTGCATATGGGAAAGTCTCAACATACCTCAAATTAGATATGAAATTCAGTATGTTACATGGCTTTGCTGTGGGAGAATCTCTCTGGCTTATAAAACTGCAGCTACAAATCTAGAATTCTGTCAAAGGTCATAATGCATCCACTATAGTCTAGTCATTTTTCTCATGAAAAAGTCAACACCCTACCTACTGTACGTGTAATTGATAAAAATAACAGGATTTTATTAAAATTAGTGGCTATTGTTTGTTTCATCAAGAAAATAACAGCAACGAACAATGATTCATCTCTTTGTACAAACACCGTGACACAGATCCTGATTGAAAGCATGAGTTGGTTAAAACTATAAAGGTTGTAATTGTGACATTTCCTTCGGTAGCGGTCTGACCTGAGCTGACTAGTTTATTCATTACCTTGCCAGACAGGAAAAAGCTGGCGGTTAGTTGATTTGTCCCAGCTCAGTACCATACACAGCCATTGAACAGTTGCATTAGGTTATTGATTTGTTTGATGGTTGCCATGTACTAATTCCATTGAATTTTTTTGCCAGTGGGAGACCAACGGTGCAGTGAGCATAAAGGCAGGGATATCAATTACCCATGCAGTAAATAGTTCCTGGCTTGGTGATGTAGCTCTCCATCGTTGTCCCTGGTTCTCTCCCCCTTCCCCCTCTCTCAAATGGAATGTATGACGCTGATGTTATTGAAAGCAACCTCTATTCAAAAACCACATCACTGACACACTCAAACAGACATGAAGGGTAAAAGCAAACTCAAACTATCAAAGGACTAAAATTGTGTAAAAGGGAAGTGATTTATTTTATTTCACCATAAATCAGTTTTGGAAATTTGATCAGGAAACAAAAAAGTTAATGGCAAGATTTTATTTGCAGATGAAAAGACTTAATAAGTACAAGTACATTATTTAAATAAACCCACAACCAGTGACCCCCCCACCACTTTTTTAATCAGGAAGAATTTTCCAATAATTCCATATTATAAACATCTGTAAAAATACAGACCACAAATCAGTCAAACTGAATATGCGTACTTAACATTTATTGTCATCACGATGGCAATTTTTTGCAGAGTTTTTCACCTGAAATAATAGTCATCTTACTTTCTGTCGACTAGAGGCATTGCTGAAAAATGTAAGACTTAATAAGCTTCTAGTTCTACCAAATCTAATGCCTGGTTTTGTTGGAAACAGGACAATTTCCGCACTAAGGATTGTTGCAACAGTTTTCTGTAAAGATCTTGGAAGAGTTGGGAAAGAAAGTACAGAACTAAGGTTGAGGAGCAAAAGCAACCCATGATAAAGAAAATGGCCTTTATGTCACCTTACGGTCACTCGCAATTGTAGTTGTTTCTCTTTGTCTTTCTTGTCTCTGATGCATAATTGTTCTCTAGATTTGTTTGAATTCTTTGTTTTGTTTCAGATCTTATCAATGGCTTGCTGAGTGGAACAACTTCACTCACTGTTGACTTACTTACCGGCAGCATTTCTCAGGTAACCCAGCATGACCAAGTACATGTAGCTAGCCTGCTTGATGCTGCACAGATCAAGTTTATGAATGATAGTTTTAGTGATTAGAACGAACAGTTTGTGACAGAGTCCTTGTGTGGTTTGTGAAACAGGAGAAGAGGAATGAAGGAGCTTAGTGGATAAAATGAAACAGGTTTACTGGTTAAAGAGATAGTCCCGCATATTGGCTCAGCCATTGTCAGTCAAGCCTGTACATTAATAATACAATATTTGTGTCAGCTACCCTTTATAAACCCAAAACAAAATAACAATGATACCAAGAATTTGGTCTGTCACAGAGTACATGTAAATAGCTTAGATGAGCTCATCATTAATCAATGAGAAAAGAGGCATGCTTTGGGATTGATGACCAGATGTATACTTTTTACTCTCAAATTACATCGTATGGTAATTTGCAAATTGATTGTCTGTGGTAAGTAACTGTAGAAGTCTTGGCAATACGGGCGTATCACAATAGTGCACCACCAAGAGTTTGCAACGCATTGGCCAATCACAACGTGTGTTTAGAAGGGTTGGATACATTTTGCTCGTTGTGATGGGCCAATGCATTGCAAAGTCTTGGTGGCACACTGGTGTGAAACGCCCACATTGATGACAGACCCTTGAGAATATTTCGTTACATGTACATCTTGCATATCAGAAAATAGTCATCAGTTGAATCATGTGAATGTGAATACCTGCACCCACATGACATGACACAGGAAGATATCAAAGAAAAGAGTTTGGTTGTGTTCAAGGACATTTCCTTGTTCAGATGTATGTTTTATACATATAGCTGCATGTCTAATCTGTGATGCAAGTACCCCGGGTACGATGGTATTGTGTAGTCATAATCATTGTTGCTACACAACTACACTTTGACCTTGCTGTCATGCATGAAAGTCAGATTTGTTGAGACAGTCAGATTGTTTTTAAGTAAGGTGCTTTGTACTCGTAGACATTTACAGAGCCTTTTAGCATTAAGTCAAGATTGTGAACTTTTTATGAATACAGTTACAGCTCAACATTGGAAGCTTTAACTTAAAGTTATACATGTGATTTATATTGCATGATGTTATGATCCAAGTTGAATCTTTCCCAAAGGCACATTTTGAAAGTTATTCAATCCCCCCCCCCCGCCAAAAAAGAATTAAATTATTATTAAAAGAAAAGATTTGCATACTCCCAAACCAGACCAACATCAACACCCGAACTTGGCATATTATGATAGGGATGGTGTTTACTCTGTCTGTTTGCAGCTGACGGGTAACCTAATGGGCTTTGCCATCTGCTTCATCATCGGCGCCCTGTTTGTAGTCATCTTTCCTATTGTTGCTTTGTGTTTTTGCTGCTGCCGTTGTTGCTGTAACAACTGCGGTGGTAAAATGTATCAGAAGCAAGGGAAGTATGACCGGACCAAGCGGGTTATTTTCGGCTTCTGTCTGGTACTGTGTCTTGGATTTATCATGTAAGTCAGAGGAATCAAACAAACATGCCACAGTATGAATCCAATCAATTTCTAGGAAGAAAGTTTTGCGTGCTTTATCAGGTTTATTGTCAGTCTTCTAACACTCGTTAGTGGTGACTTGTCATCCAAACCGATTGACAAAACATTCAATTGTGGTTTGAAAACTAAGTGAAATAATATTTAATTGCAAGAATTTTTTACTCTGAAAAATGTTTTCATAAATTGATCCTTAATGTAATAGTCATCTTGTTCATTCTTAAAGGATCCATGAAATGAATTTTTCTCAGAAGCACATTTTATGTATCTCTGTACCCTTTTGTAATGTATGAAGACTGTTTGACATCTTTTTTTTTTGCATTACTTGAACTGAAAAGTGCACTTTTTAAGTATTCAAAATTGACCAAGCATTTCTTGACAAGTGAGGGTGTTGTTTCTTTGATGTAAATCCAGAAAGACATGGTTCCGTTTTTTTCACCTTTTTTTTCAACTTCTGAACTCCAAGTTTGATATCTGAAAATGTTATAGTGGAAAGGTTGCTTGCTGGCTTATTGCCATGCACATGTACTTACACAATAAATTGCCAAAGGAATGAAATTTTAGATAGCAAGTGTTTAAAAAATCTAGAAATTTTCTGTGCACAAATTGGTGCAACATTGAGATTCAGCACCTTGGATGACATCATAGTTTTTCCTCCTGAATATGCAAATGACATTAGCATAAAACAAAAAAAAACCTCAAAATATGGGTTACAATTGCAAAACAAAAAATTAAAATAAGATTAATTGAAACCCAAAAGGTGCAATTACAAGGGTTTTGGTAAAAAAGTTCTATTTCATGGTTTTAAAAAACAAAGACAGAACAAGTGTCATCAGAGCATACATTTCAGATACCTGGATGTATCTGTTTGTTTTTGTTTCTGCCAAACTATGAAAGAAAATAAATGATTTTTGTGATATTGATTTTGTAAGAACCCACCTGTGTGTTATTATGAGAGAACTACACATTCATTACATAGAAAGCATTGTTGAATTCATTACATACATGTAGAAAGCATTGTTGACTGCATGCAATCAATTCTGTCTGACATCATTGATTCAGAGGGGGAGTGGCTACAGCATTCTGTGTCAACACCTTTACCACCCAGAAGGTTGAGAGTCTACCCCAAGATGTGGTTAATAACATTGATGACATGGTGTCCTTTGTTACTAACACCCTGCAGGTAATTCAATGAACTTCACAGAATCACTTAGCGCAAACAATTTGCAAGCACCAATAAAATTTGCTTTGTAGCAGCCACAGACCGATTGTGATGAATGTCTACATGTTTTGGGGTTTTCATCGTTCTTCTTAGCTGTTTAATGTGTTGCTTTTTTTCAGCTTTTTTTTCTGTTTATTCTGAAAACCCTAATACAATTACTGTTATGTACATGTAAAGTTTAAAGCTTATGTGAAGTTGAACAAATAGTCAGGCCAAAAACTTAAAACTTCCCATGAATTTCCTGCTGAAGTTTTATTTAATAAACTACCTCAGTCCAAACCCAATTTGCCTACTTATCATCTTTGCATTTTTCTAAATGCACCTGACAGGAGATTAACTTCACAGTTGTGGACCAGCTCAATTACACTCTGAGTCAAGTGGGACAGGATCTGGTTGGTAGGTATATAGATGCATTGTCATGACGTCAGAGAAACAAATGGTAGCCTCGCCAACAAGTGTGCATGTTAATATTGATTACGGTTTGATAACACCTGCCATTAAGTGACAGCCCTATCGGTCATGTACAGACTATTCATGGCAGTGCAGTGCAACAGTGGTGAGCTTCGACTCACAGGAAACATTCAGATTGATTTGCCACAAGTTCAGACATCAATTTGCGTATTCAGAATTCTTGTGAACGATTTGCTGAATATAATGTTTTTATGTACATGACACGAAGTACATGGACTATTGAAACTGAATGGGCATTGCGTCAAAGCTTTCAGTTTTTGTGGTTCTTTATTTTGTATTTGTCCAGTTTGTGTATTTAGCATTAAAGCAAAGCTTCTCGATCTCAAAATTTCACAGAAGACACGTTTTAGGAAAGTCTGTCGTTTCTGTACGTGATTGGAATTGATTTGGAATATTTCTGATCATGTGGAGAATCCTGTAACTTACATCTTCAGATATTGATCAGCTTGTTGGTGTGCCAGTCAAGGAGAGCTTATCGACCATTGTGCAGCCAGCAATCGATGCTATCTACCCACTTGACACCTGTGAGTTATCACTCCATGAGCAATCAACCAAAGATATCCAATACACTCACCTGCAGGAAGATTGTTACACATGAATTGTTCCATTCAGCAATATCATACGACTTCAGTAAACAGCACAATTTGTGTCATGAATTCTCCTCAAATGTGTAGACGGCCCTGTGAAGACAAACCTGGAAAGTGTGAAGAAAAAAACTTAATAAGTTTCCCAGTAGCATAGACTCGCTTGCTTCTATTCATTCATTTTGTTATAAGTCTTGACGTTATAGACAGTTGGTGGAAAATGAATTAAAAGTGCCCCTACTGTTCACCTATCAGCCATAAGCAACACCTACAATGGCCTTGTCAACATCAACACCACTCAGGCCAATGTGGAGGTCATGTGGGAAGACGTCAAGAGTCGTGTAGATCAAGTCGCAAGTGACATCGGTGCTGCTTGTTCTTCTTGCGGTTGCTGTGGATCTGCTCCTGATTATTCTGGTCTTAGCATGAATGCAGACTGGCGAGATATCAATATTGGCATGGTAAGGTCTACAGTGACATGAAGTCCTCTCCCAAGTTTACATTTTGGCTGTTTTTGTGGGCACTATTAAAATTGTTTTGAAGATTATAATCTTAATTGTGCCCTGTAAACATGTTGTGACTGAAGTGTACTAGATAAAACATTAATACAGTTGTGTTCTCTCATGTAAAGAAACTGGACTTTATCACTGATTTGTGTAAAGTATCACATGATAATCTCTTGATTCTGAAGATTTCTTGACTTCAAAGTTTGTTTGTTGCATTTGCACAGATGCATGGTACCTTCCCTCAAATAGCCGTAGACAATTCAATCGATGCTATGGAGGATGTTAACAATGCTGATCTCAGCTCATCTGCAGATGAGGTAAACTTGTCCCAACAACGATGGTGCCCTTTCATGTTTACTTCCTGACAATTGCTAGTGGCTCTCCTTTAAAGGTTTCCAATGGTTTATTAAAACAAACATCGTCTGATTGCATGAAATGAACTGAATAAGAGAAATGGTGAGCGGCTGTTTAGTTCCTTTTAGACGAAGGATGCAAGACATTTGAATCTCATACATATGCATGCCACCAAGCTGTATGGAACAAGTAGGATTTGTTCAAGAACTTTTTGGAGTGACAGTTGTGAAGCAAATGGAGGAAATAAACAGCATCCATCAACTTTTTCCCCCCCACAGTGTCTATATTTGGCCATGCCAAAGGGCAAACTTTGTGAGACCATTTTAAAATAAAGAGTAGAGTGTGCTTGCATGCATGTGGAAATTTGAATGTAATTGAATGGGGTTCCATCACACAGTAAATAGGGTTCCATCACACATTAATAAGAATTCCACCACACATCAAGAAGGATTCCATCACACATTAATAAGGTTCAAGCACACATTGAATAGGGTTCCATCACAGATTAAACGGGGTTCCATCACTAGATTCAGGGTATGAGTATTGTATATTTGATTTGTACTTCCTCCTCTTAAATGCCTTCTTCAGGGTGCAGCCAACTTTGACAACCTGCCACAGACTCTGAAGAACACAACCCAGTCTCAAATTGATGGTAAATCAACAGTTTCATTTCAAGTTTGGAGCTCAGCAATGATAATGGACTTATTGTTACTGGTATTTGCAACCTTAGAACTATCATTTCGGCATCCTGCTGACTGAGCTTCCTAAGATAATGTCCCAGCTTGACAGGTTTCAAATGGGAGCGGAAATCAGAGACCAAGGAATTAATCATTGGTCACGTGACCAGCAATGAAATTCCTAGAATCCAAAGCAAAACCCGCAGAGATATGGTATGATGGATATACAAGAAATAGAGAATCTGCTGCAGACCTAAAATATATATCAAAAAGTTGAAATGGCCTGACATTTCGATCCTAGCAGAATCTTTCCCGTCAAAGGCAAAATGACAAGTGGACTGAGACATACCAGGAAGGAAGGATATAGAGACAAGAAAAGACTAAGTTGGTTGGTTGTAGTCTTTCACCTTGGGAAATTTTGGTATTATAATAAACTTGTATTAAATTGTATGATATTTGTTTTTATTTCCAGACATCTTGAATACCCTTAATGGTTTAGAAACCAGTATTGCAGGTCTCCTTACATCCACTACCAGTGAATTGTCAGGGGTATGTACAACCTGTTGGTCCTTCCAAATGAACTGATTTGACCAGTTCAGTAGTTATCACCCCTCGGCAACAAGAATGTCCTAGTCAGCAACAGGCGCTCTCTCGGTGTCGGATAAATGAGCAGGAGTCAGGAGATGCAAACATTTGTGCAAGCCTAACATATCAAGTATGGACTTGTGAACAAAAGATGTCCACATGATGCAGGAAGGGAAGACATTCTGTGGACTTACCCAGGCCAGGCTTGTCCACAGGACATTTCCACTTCTCTGAAAAGAAGTTTCAAGGCCAGATTTGGGGGTTAGAATTGTAAGAGGAACAGTTAAGGTAACCTTATACAGAAATCCAGCTGAAAAACCATGTTCGCAGTTCCAAACATGAGCCTACAAAATTTTCTGAACTGCATAAAAAACCAAGGCATGTCCACACTAGGTATGTATCATAAAGTAGGTGTGTAGATATTTAGTCTGCAGAGCCCGGTATATTAGTTAAACATACTTATTAACAACAAATATTGAATTGACCAGTAACTTTTATTCATCTGTGACAAGTGTTTCTACTTCTCTGTTTGTTGATGTTTGTTGTTCATAGATTATTGGCCAGATTGATGGCTATAAAGACACTATCAATGACATCACACCCCTTATTCAGCAGTATGATCCCTACAGGTAAGCCATTTATGGTGAATTCCAGAAATTAGAGGTCCAAAAATCTGACGTTTTCATGTCCTTGTTACATCTGACATTTGTTATTTGACATGGAAATAGCACCGGAATTGATTTCAAACCGTTACAATTTGTTTGGCAGGTAATTTGCATTCATTTATCACGCTTGGAAATTAGAAAATTTGTTCTGAACAAACAAAATCTTATGTCAGATGTGACAGGGCCACCAAAAAAAATGGATCCCTAATTTTTGGAATTACCTATAGATGTTTGAATCTAGATACAGTGCAAAAGTTCAGGACTGCCCATACAAATTGCATTAACCTGAAGAAAAACCAACCTTAAACCAATCAATCATGGCAACTTATGTTTAGTTTCAACGTGTAACCTTAGTATCCTGGTTAAACAGCTTTTTGACTGCATTTCCATGATTTGAAATGTTAACAGTCTATTACTTAGTGTGCCCTCCTTTATTTCCGATTGGCTTTTTTTACCCATGCTGCCTTGCAGACAAAATGTCATACAAGACCTGCCTTTGCAAAAATTTTCATTCAAATGGGTATACAACACCAAACTGATGTTATGCAGTACTGTAAAAAACATGTTAGTAATCAATCAATGAGACAATGTAATGCAGGCCTGGTGACAGAAATACCAATAAAATACCAGGTGGCTTTAAACTTTGTGAGTGACTGTAGTCATGGATTTATTGACAACCTCAGATACCACTTATGGCCAAATTTCAACATTCAACTGCTTGTGCTCTCAAGAGGGAAAACCTTGAGTTTCTATAGAGGGTTTGCGTGGCTGCCATCTTGCCGGCCAGTGCTTTTGTTCTGCTAGGACTCAAGAACTGTCATGGCTACCATGCAAAGCCTGTGTTTGTACAGATCAGAATGAATGTGTTTTGTACTGTATTCTGGGTGACATTATGGTTCATCCTCTCAGTCAAGTTTTCAAATCTGTTTCCCTGGTCAGTAATGATATCCTGAAATTAAGGAATTTCATTCGCACCAAAGGAAAAGATGAGAGACCAGAAAATAGAGAGGGTTGAACTGTTTATCCTGTGTAGTTGATAAACAGGATTTCCCACACTGATAACACTCAGGTACCATCGAGTGAGGGCAAGAACCAATATAGAACTTTGGCATTGTAACTAACTACTTTCCTGGGCGATCTCTTGTCTCTCTGTCTGCAGGAGCTATGCCTTGATCGGTTTCTACAGCATCCTGCTGGTCATTGCCGTATTGTTCTTGTTTGGTCTCATCCTGGGCGTGGCAGGATACAACACGGAAGTGACGCCATCCCAGCGAGGAAGCTGCTCCCACTGTGGTGGCATCTTCATGATGGCGTATGTAGAATGACAGAAGTGTAGCATGTCTAAGCCAAGAGCTGAGGAGACCTGAAACTTTACCTTCCAATTTCTTACTAGTTGTTGGATTCTGTGGAATACAGGAGGCTTGATCATACTTCACCGCCATCACATTCTCTAGGACTTGACATCCTGCTTCAAGTGAATACAGAGAGAGTAGCAAAGTTGATTTTGTTGAGATCCATCCATGGTGCTACCACAAGCCTGTCTAATTTCGTTGATTTCTTTGTTATACTTTCTTCAGGGCTGTTGGCATTGCATTCATTTTCCTGACATTCTTCATGCTGTTTACAATGCTGTTGTTCATTGTGGGTGGACCCTTTGATCGTCTCTTCTGTGATCCTCTGGTATCCGGGGAGCTGTTTACACAGGTACCAAAAAAAAAATCAAGCAAATCATAGAGATTAGCTTGCATCCTTCTTTAGGTCATGGGTATTTCTATAAATTAGGGGTCCAATTTTTTTTGGCGTCCCTGTCACATCTGACGTGATTTTGTAAGTGGAGAACACATTCTGTAATTTCCAAGAATGATGAATTAATGCAAATTACCTGCCAAACAATTAAAAACAGTTTGAAATCCATTTCAGTGATACATTCATGTCAAATTACAGAGTTCAGGTGTAACAGGAGACACAAAAATGTCACACTTTTGGACCCCGAATTTATAGAATAACCCTCATGCAGGGGAAGCTTTTCTATTAAGTGTAACGTGAACAACCTCAAACTCTTTTCAAGATGTATTTTTGCGTTGGGGAGATGTTAATTTATGTAACAGGTTTTGCCCTTACTCAACGTAAATATTAATAAACATTCTATGCTCAGTGCTTGTCCGAGAGCTTGCAAAAAAGTCACAAGCTTACTCGGGTGGGACTCGAACCCATGACCTCCTGCTTACTAGTTCAGACGGCTTAACCACTCGTAAGCACTAGTCTGCACTAGTAAGTAGGAGGTCGTGGGTTCAAGTCCCACCCGAGTAAGCTTGTGACTTTTTTCGCGAGCTCTCGGATAAGCACTGAGCATAGAGTGTTTATTAATATATACGTTGGGTAAGGGCAAAACCCCTTATATAAATTAACCTCAATCTCAGTAATGCCTGCATTATATTGAGGATTTCTGTGTCATAGTGTCTTACTTTTATGCCTTTTTATGAAGTATTTGTATTGTTCATGGTAAATTTTAATGATCGGTTACCACATTGAAAACTGTCATCTTTATATTTTCTGTGACGAGACAAAAACGACTCAGCAAGATTTTCTGCCTTTGTTTCTTCTTGCAGACTATTGACAAGGAGAATGCCCTCGGCCCAGGATACTTTCTGGGCCAGACGCTCTTTGGAGATGGGAACATATCACTCACTCTCACTGGCATTTTAGAGTAAGATTTTTGTCAGTAGATCCTCCTTGGTGAAAGACAATTACATTTGAAATTGGTTTTGTTAACCTGACCTTGAGCTGACACATAGTCGAGATAAAGCAGCAATTCTTTTACTTATAGTGAGACAGCTCTTATAATTTATGTTATATTTCAAATAAAAACTGCACTATCCGCCCCGAGTTGAAGTGCACCCCCAAGCGGCAAAAGAAAGACTGATGGTAGTAAGTTTCCCAAGCAGGTTCTTGCACGCCTTCTGTATGTACGCAAAGACCATACATTTAAGAGATGAATTCGTTCTGCGTACTCAGCGTGCTCCGTGTCAAACGTGCCATTGATCTCCATTATAAACGCCCACCTATGCGGTGAGTACCATAAAACCACACCCTCTTTGATGTGCTCGGAGTGGATTGGCATTCACCACGCATTACAAGGTGACTTAAAAATATTTTCTTTCTAGTGACTGTGAGAACAATACGGCAGTTTACGAAGCCTTCAAGTTGGAAAATTTCCTGAATATAAGTGATCTCCTCAACTTCCAACAGGTTGGTGTCATGCCCCCTATGTAACAAGATGAACAGGAAGTCACATAATCATAATTCAATATCACATGACATGTGTATTTTGAACTCATTGCATTAGTTTAAAGTCAAATGATCATGTTATACAGTAGTTATGGTCTCACAGTCATAGTTACCAGTAATAGTTGAAGGAAATCTGGTAACAGAAGGTACACGTAGCTGGTTCTCTGAGATTTCTGTTCAAGTTATTTCACAAAAGCCCATGTCTTAAAGTCTGCTTGAATTTAATTAGCAATGCATTTTGACACTAATTCTCATGCTGGCAAAATGTTGTAAATCTTTTAAACAGATGTGCTAATGGAATTATTCAAGGAGGATATATTATCTGAGATATTATCCTCTTATTTCGTTTGGGAATCTCTGTCCCTCCTGTTGTAGTGATTTCCTATGATAATCTGGTTTGTTGTTTTTTTCTGTGACAGTTTATTCCAGACATTGGTAGCCAGTTTACCAATGTGACCGGTGATCTGACTGCTGTAGACATCCTCACTCCTAGTACCAGGCAGATCTTGATTGACTTCCGTGATTCGCCAGCGGACAACATCAACTGGACACTCTTCAAAGAGGAGGTAAATTTTATCCATCAACTTATCGTCTTCAGGCACCCCAGTGAGTTCAAACAGATGAAGCACCTCTGAAACAGCCCAAGGTACCACATAATGTCCTGAATGAAATGATCAGGTGCACTCAGTGGTTGCATCCCTGTTTGTTGATTGGTCAGTTTTAATTAAAATTTGTTGCCTGCATCTGTTTACCAACAGCTTGCGAGCGATCTGACTAATGACGTGAATAATGGCAACGATCTCTCTGTGCTTGCCAGCCTCCTCAATACATTCGCTGCAGGTCTCTCAAGTGTAAGTTGACAGTTTTTCAGCACACAGCACACTCTGTTTAAAATCAGTAACTTTCAAACCTAATTTGCTTTTGTTCCAGCGTAACACATTTGCCATCCACTGTAAACTTAATAAATGCAAACTGATGTTGTAATTCTGATCGCTTTCCAAAGTTGAAAATCTGATGTTCATCCTTATAATGTTTTTTCTCCCAGCCTGATGATTCCACCTTCCAGGATTTGGCAACAAACCTGACTATCATACAGACAAACTACATAGCACCACTCCTGGCCCAAAGGGTAAAAGTCACAACAGATCCAGCAGTGTGCAGTTTATCGTTTTTTTAATTTCTTGTGATGTCCAACTTTGTGAAATCATTAATGGAACTGTAGCTAAGAAGAAACATTTCAAAGAGAAAAATTCTTGGTGAGCTTGCTTTGATTTGTTGTAACAATTAACGTTTTCAGATTTTTTTCGTCAAGGAAATTATCTTTCACTTACAGAATCATTACCTTGTAAATTGATGTCTTTTTTTGTAGGACACCCTTTCAATGTACATCACAGATCTGGAGAGTGAGACTGGTAACATAGATGTAAGCTGATCTTGACTGTGATGTGTTGAATTGGAATTTATGTGGAACGAAAGCTTTGGGATAAGTCCTGGAAAGCACTGAAATTCTGTTCATATCATGGAAGATCCTCTGATCAGGCTAAGAATTTCCAGCGCTAATCCTGAAATGTTTCAATGCCGCCATAAAATATTCTTGAAAAATGCTTAAAGATCTCAAAAAGTCCAGCACCAAATGAAAATGAGTTTGCCAAAACATTTCTACACTGATCAGTCCAGCACCAAATGGAAAAGACTTTGCCAAAACATTTCTACACTGATGAAGTCAGTGAAAACGGCGTGAAATGTTTTTCCTCGTTGTCCATTTTTCTCGCTCCTGATTTTGCATATTGACATTGTCTTGATACAGTTCATATTAGGGAAAATGTAACTGTCAAGTGAGTTTGACATCAAAGTTATCTGCGGTGAAATTTCAGCATAGTTGAATTTATTCAAATATCTATTCTGTATTCATGTTTTCTGTGACCTCATCAAGACTTTGTCTCTGTGATGCTTTTTTTAGACTCTTGTCAATGATACCATTGATGCTGCCGATGCTGCTCAGGGCCACCTAGACACTACTAGTCCGAATCTCATCGCACAGGTCAGGAGATTAGATTAGATCTCCTAGGACTGCAGTCCTCATCTCATTTGCATTACAGAGCTGTCACTAAGGGGAGATCTGGAGGGGCAAGGCCCTCCTGGCAAGCAGCTAATAACCCTCCCCTCCCCCCACAATAACCTTCCCCTCCCCCTCACAATAACCCTCCCCTCCCCCTCACAATAACCCTCCCCTCACAATA